GCTGGGATGCTCCAGTCCCGATCAAACCCATCCCAAATCCCAGCAGCTCCATGGAACACGCCGGGCTGCCCCGTGCCCGGCCTTACCGGCGCGTGTCCAGGAAGACCTCGGTGCCCAGCACGCAGACGCCGCGGGCGGCGTGGCTGGTGGACATGGGCACGACGTGACGCGGGGCCATGGTGAGCCGGGCACGGCCGCATGGGCAGGGAGCTCTGCCGGCTGTGCCGGGAAACCAGCAGGACTGGATTAAAAGGCTCGGGAAGGTAACTCCTCCTTCCTGGGATGACGGGGTTCGGCCGGGGGACCCTGGTTCCACCTCCATGCCGAGATGGAGCTGATAGGGCAGCCCCGGGGCGGCTCCAGGAGGGACACCAGCTGACAGCCAGCCCTGCTGGATGCTCCTCAGCGGGGGTTTGGGTTTATTCCGCTCTTTTTGTTCCTCCCCAGCTCCATCTCAAGCCCCGCAGCTCATGCATTAAACATTCCCGCTCCCCCGGCAGCGCAGGGTGGTTGTTTGGGGTTATTACAATGCTGTCATTAAAACCGGGCATTTTCTTTAAAACACCCCAAATTTTCCAGCCGGCCTCTCTGGGCCGGGTGAGTCACGGCCCCAGCTGCAGCAGCAGGGCCATGCCTGAGTACAGCTGAACAAAAGGAAATGTTTGCTCAGGTCCTTCCCATCCCAACCATCCCGAGGACGGGAGGGACGGGCAGGGAGAACTGGTTATGGGGCAGGCGGGGAAGGGGAAAACACCAACAGCCAACAACCAGAGGCTTCCCAAGGAAACTCAGACTCCTCTGTGTCTTGCTCGGACCTCGAGCTTCAGGGGAATGGAGGGTTTCCAGGCCGAGATCCCACAGGAAGCTGTCGGTGCTTCAGATATCCATCACTCTCCGGACCATCCCATCCCAGAGGATTCGCCTGCCTGGGAGCAGGGAATCCCTGCTGGAGCAGGAGAGAGGGAGCCCTGCCTGTGGGGATGGAGGGAGCAGCTCCAGAGGGTCCCTTTTATTTTACTTTATATATATTACTATATTTTAAAACTTAAAATTTTAAGTTTTCTACTCTGTGATATTATACACTTTTAATTAACTGCACACATAATTTTAGTGTTATTAATCAATTTTGGAAGCTTTTTTTATGGCTTTAGGTTAAATGCAGTGTTTTCTTGAGTTAGAATTTGTTAGTACAAAAGTTTAAAGTTGTCAGCATCCAGAACTCCAACATCTCATGGCTCATCCCCAGGGAATGGGGTGGGATGTGCTCAGGACAGGGAATGGAAAGGATGGGAAGTGTTTGGGACAGGGAATGGGAAGCAGAGAGCTGGGAAGGGCCAAATCCCTGTGGGGAGCAGCAGGAAAAGGCCCAGGGGAGCTAGGCAGGGCTCAGAGGAGCCAGAGCCAGCACTGCACCGAGCTGCACGTCCTCAGCTGCTGGAACAGGGAATTCCCTGTGGGATCAAACTGCTGGGATGAGCCCAGCCCAGCTCCGGGAAGGGATTCTGGGAAAGGGCTCCCTCCCACTTCAACTGCAGCAACCACCCCCAGCTCCGTGTCTCATACCCCAGAACAGCTTCAGGAATTGGAGGAGCCCAGAGGAGCAGCCAGGATGCTCCAGCAGGGAATGCTGGTGGCATTTCCAGGCTCTCCCAGGCTTCACTCACTGGAGATTTTGGATAAGAACCCATTTTCCACAGCCCAGCACCACCCAAACTCCTGCTGGGAATGGTGTTGGCTCTCCAGGTCTTCCTGGGAGCACCAGCCCTGGTGGATCCCTGGACTGGGAGTGGAATGGTGGAGTGGCCCCAGAGGGCTGGGCTCCCCACTGGAGGCTGCTGGTTGCACTGGTTTGTACTGGGCAGGGGCTGGGGCCGTGCCCCGAGCCTGCTCGGCTGGTTTGGGCCGAGGGATGGACAGGAACACACCTAGGAATGGACAGGAGCATACCTGGGGCCGGATGGGAGCACATCTGGGGCTGGGACAGCGGGATTGGGGCGCTCTGTGATCTGCAGGGAGGAGAACTCAGCTCTGCCAGGAGCACAGGATGAGCTGGGACCTCAGTGCTCCCCAAAATCCAGCGGGATCGCACCCCTGGGCACGGAGAGCCCAAACCTTCCAGGGCCGGGTGGGTTTTGCAGGTCAGTCCCAGCCCGTTCTGAGCCGCTGCAGATATCGCCCGGCCCCGAGCACCGGCAGGTTTTGGGTGGAACCTGGGCTCCCTCCTCTTCCTCCTGCAGCTGCCGTCGGCTCCGACGTGCCGTGCTCGGGGACAGGAGGGTTTGGAGCCACCCGGCCCGGCCGGAGCTCAGCGCTTCTCCCTAATTAAAGTGGCACATGACAGACGGATCCAGCCTGTCCATCACACCAGGGAGCTTGGGCAGCCTGCTCTGGGGGTGCCTTTGGCTTTCCCCCAATCCCAGATTCTTTCCTTCCCCTATGACAGACTCTTTTCCCCAATCCCCTTTTCCCCAATCCCAGTCCGTCAATTTTCCCCCGAACGCCCCCAGGAACCCCAGGAACAGCCGGATCCCTCCGGGGCGTTGCTCCTCGCCCATCCTGCAGCACCACTCTGCCAAGGAAAGTTCGATAATCTTCCTAAGCCGATAATTACAGCTCGTTAATTACAGCTGGTTAATTACCCCGCGTGCAGAATTGCAGGCAGGAGCCTTTACGAGCCGTGTCAGCCTAATTACCTGAGCAGGGCGAGACATCGAACCAGTTATCAAACCCCGCTGGGCTCGGCAGGGCTTGGGGCTCCTCAAGGGTTTCTTTAGGGTTTTCTTTAGATTTTTTTAGGGTTTCTTTAGGTTTTCTTTTTGCCGCAGCATCCCAGGCGGGCAGGGAAGTCTCGCATCTCCCATCCCATCTCGCATCCCATCCTGGGAGCCAGGGAAAAAGAGCAGCAGGCAGGTTCGGGACAGGAAAAAATTCTGGGAAAACCCAGAATTTGAGTTGGTGGGAAGCGTGGAAAACACCCGGACTGCCCAAGCACCCCAAAACCCGCTCCGTCCCTTCCTCTGCCCCAAAGAAAGGCGGCTGCCCGCAGGGAGGCTCCGGAGCTGCCGATCCCAGAGCGAAGCATCCCGGAAAAGCAGAACAGCAATTTTCCCTGCGGCTGGAACCGGGCCCCAGCTCTGCCCCACGCGTCGCCCGCCCTGCCCCACAAACGTCCCGCCCTGCCCCACAGATCTCCCGCTCAGCCCCAGCACAGCCCCGGCTCTGCCCCAGCGCCTCCATCCCGAATTCCCGAATTCCGGGCAGGAACGGGCAGCGCCCGGCCGGGCACGGGCACCTGTTGGCACCTCCTGAGGGCGAAAGATCAGCCCGGAGCGCTCCGGGGAACATTCCACTCCCACTCCCCGGAATTCCGAGCCTGCAGCGCGGAGTCAGAACGACCCCGGAGCCCCGAGCACCCGGGGAGAGCAAATCCCGAGTTCCAGCTCCGGGAAAACCTCGGGAGGGGAGCGCGGGGGCTGCTCCCAGACTCCAGGCTGGGATCTGCTCCCAGCGCCTGGGAATTCGGGTGGGCAGCGCTGCCCCGGCAGAGGGAGGTTCGGGCAGAGCAGCTCCCGGTCCGGTCTGAGTGTTAAAAACCCCCGGGAATCCTCGGAGCGGCTCGGATTCACCGGGAAACGGCGAGACAGATCCCGGGATAAACCGGGATCCTTCCCAGTCCCGGCACAGCCGCGGGACAGATCCATGGAAGAACTGAATTCCAATGAAATTATCCCAATTCCAGTGGAAATTATCCAGATTAACTCAGATTCCCTATTTTCCCAGCCCTGAACTTCCCAGCTCCTGGCCCGGATGCTCATCTGGGATATTCCTCAGCACAATCCCAGAATTACTGGGGCTGGAAGGGCTTTACATCCCATCCCATTCCCCCTCTTTCTATGGGGGGATTCCAGGGGGAGGATGATCCCTAAAAAATCCAGGAATATTCATCCCCCAGCCCTTCCAACCCCTCAATTCCAATGGAAATTATCCCAATTCCAATGAAATTATCCCAGTTTAGATCAGATTCCCACGTGGAGCTAGCCCTGAACGTCCCAGCTCCTGGCCTGGATATCCATCCAGGATATTCCTCAGCACAATCCCGGAATGATTTGGAGTTGAAGGGCTTTAAATCTCACCCCATTCCCCGTTTTTCCATGGGGGAATGGCAGCGTGGAGACGACCCCTATAAATCCCAGGGACTCCGTCCCCACGGAGGGAAGCCAGGGTTGGAAAAGGGAAGCCCGAGAGGGATGGAAAGAAGGAACATCCACCTGAGCTCTGCTGCTGCTCGCTAATTGCTTGTGGCTTCCAGAATCTGGGGCAGCAGTTTGGGCTGGAAAATGAATATTTAGCTGGGTGTTCATAACCGATGCAAACCCCGCGTGGGCGGGAACAGCTCCTGACGCGCTCCGGAACGGCCCGGGGGGACAAAACCAGCTCCGAGCTCCCTTCAGCAGCCACTGCTCCCCAGCTTCCCTTTGAAAATTAGCAGGGGAAAAAAAGGAGAGTTCTGCTCTTGCCTCAGGTCTGGGAAAGCGGGAGCAGGCAGGGATTTTCCCTAGAGAGCAGAAGGACAAGGTGAAATGCACCCCAGGGATGCGGCCAGGTCCCAAAATGCCACAAATCCGCACTGGGGATCCCAGGCTGGGGTCAGGGAGGTGTGGAGGGACCGGGAGCTGGGGACAGCTGGGGGAGCTCCTTGCCCAGGGCTGGGGCCAGCTGCCCTCCCTCCCTCTCTGTCCCTCCCTCCCTGTCCATCCATTTCTGTCCATCTCTGTCCATCCTACCCTGTCCATCCCTCCCTCCCTGCCCATCCCTGTCCATCTCTGTCCATCCCTCGCTGTCCCTCCCTCACTATCCATCCCTGTCCCCCCCTGTTCCTCCCTCCCCCGGATCACTTTCAGAGGTCTCACGGGTCCAGCCCAGCCGCCCCCTCGCTCCCATTGCCATCCCAGCCCCGCCAGCCCCTCGAGGAGGAGGAGGGCGGCAGGGCCGGAGGAAGGAGCAGCAGCGGCCGCGAGGGCTCCGCGGGGCAGCTCCCGGGGCAGCTCCCGGTGTCGGTGCCGGTGCCCATGGCCGGGGAGATGCCGGGGGAGCCCCGCACGCTGCGGCTGCAGCACGGGAACCGCATCGAGGCCCTGTGCGTGCTGGGCGGCCACATCCGCGCCGACGTCTTCGGGTGAGAGGGACCCCAAAACTTCCCTTCCTCCTCCTCCTCCACCTTCCCCCCCGCTTTTCCTTCTGCAAATTCTTGCTCCTCATTTTTCCTCCTACAAATCCCTGCTCCTTGTTTCTCCTCCTGCTTTCCCAAACCCCACAGCTGCTGGGCGGCCACAACCACACCCACACCGATGTCCATGGTGAGAGGGACCCCCACAAAAAAATCCTTTCCTCCCCTTCACCTTTCTGCTCACCTTTCAACCCTGTTTTTCCCTCTGGGAATCCCTGCTCCTTGTTTTTCCTTCTGCAAATCCCTGCTCCTCATTTTCCCTTCTGAGAATCCCTGCTCCTCTTTTTTCCTCCTGTCTTCCCAAACCCCACAGCTGCTGGGCAGGCACATCCACACCAATGTCCATAGGTGAGAGGGACCCCAAAAATTTCCTTTCCTCCTCCACCTTTCTCCTTGCTTTTCCCCCATTTTTCCCTCTGGAAATCCCTGCTCCTCCTTTTTCCTCCTGCTTTCCCAAACCCCACAGCTGCTGGGCAGACACACTGATGTCCACAGATGAGTGAGACCCCCAAAACTTCCTTTCCTCCTCCACCTTCACCTTCCTCCTCATCTTTCCCTCCTGTTTATCCCTCTGGGAATCCCTGCTCTTCATTTTCCCTCTGCTTTCCCAAACTCCACAGCCCCGACACTGTTTTGATGCAATTTGTGGGCAAACTCCTTCCCAGACATTGCAGAGCTGCATGAATCCCTGGAAAGCTTTGAACACCCCTGTATTTACCCCAGCCCAGGGTGGGTCTGACCCGCTGGGCTCAGCAGATCCTGGGACACCTCGGGGAGGTGAGGAGAGCAGAGGGACGAGCAGGAGCCTGGGAAGGGACTGCAAAGTAAGGGAAGAACACAAAATCTCTTGACCAAAACCTTGGGAAAGTGGAAATCCCCACAGCGCCAACCCCACTTCCCTAAAACAAACCCAATGCTGAACTTCGGGATTAAAGGGAAAAAGAAGGTGAAAAACTCATCCCAGGCTCGATTCTGGTCAGTGCTGCTGTTGCAAATCCCAGCCTCAATATTCAAGCCAAGCAGCGCAGCTCCAGCTCCCCTGGCACCTCTCCAGGCCAAATCCCTTCCCAGCGGGATACCCAGATCCAAGGAACCAGGAAACCAAACGAGTTTTTCCATGTGTAATTAAAAGCAATTGAAGGATTTAAGGAACACCCAGGCAGGAGCAAAGGAGCACTCGGATTTCCTCCCCCCTCTCCAAGGGTGCGGGTTTGGTGGGACTGGCGGCATCTGAGAAACCTGATCAAAGCAAGGTCTCGGGTGTCGGGGCAAAGAGCCCAAAAATAATAACCTGGAAAGGCAGGGAAATTTGGGAAAAGGAGCCAGGAGAGGGGAAGAGCAAGGGCACATCGGACTGGGAGCAGGGCAGCACTGACAGCTTTGGGACTGGATAAAATGCCCCAAAAATGAGAGTTTCCCATGGAAAAGCCTCTCGGGGGGATGGCCACTGTGTTTTGAGGAACCGTTAAACACCATGCTGGAAAATGAACAGGGATTTCTCCATGGAAGTGCGAGCCCAGGTTGGTCTGGATTATTACAGATCCTTACCCACAGCGATGGCTGCAAACCCTCATGAGGCTAAGCCAGGCCTAAACCCGGGTAAATTCCAGTTCCCAGGCAGGAGCAGGGCAGGAAGGTGCCAGCAGTGAGCACAGAGATGCTGGCATGCCCAGTCTTGGCCGCACTCAGGGCAGTGGAATGAATCCCGATGGGAACGCCGCACTGACCCAGCACATCCCTGAGAATTCCGGGTGTTTCTGGCAGGGCGGCCCCCGCCGGGGCCGTGGCCTTTGGCGTGAAGCACACGGAGGGGGTCAGCGTGGATGTGCTGTTCCGCGGCCGCGCCGAGCCCGAGGTCGTGTCCGGCGCTGGCGCGCGGTGGCCGCTGGACGAGGGGACGGTGCTGAGGTTCAGCATGAGCCGGGCCAGCTCCGAGGTCAATGACAACAAGGTGAGGAGCGGGATCCCGGGAGCAGGACCTCCACGGAGGGAGGACATCCTGCCCCAGTGTGGGGTTCGGGTTTGCAGGTCACCGTCAGCTTTTACGCAGAGGGAGGGAAGCCCATCAACCAAGCCGGAGTGTTCCTCACTGGTGTCGGTGAGTCGAGAGCTCCAGGAGTCCACACCCATCCCCTCATGCCTGGAGCAGGGGCAGGGATGGGGACAGCAAACCCAGGTCTGCTGGCTCTGGGGGTCTGGCACCCAATCCCCTCGCCGTGCCTGGGGATGAGGCGGCTCTGTCCCTGCAGGGATCTCCCTGGACGTGGACGCGGATCGGGATGGAGTGGTGGAAAAGAACAGCCCCAATAAGGTACCCAGCCTCCCCCACCCACCGAAAATCCACAGGCTCGGCGGGTCCGGAGCCCACTGAACCCCAGGGGTGCTTTAGGCGAGCTGGGCCTGGGGACCAGAGGGACACGGGGCCATCCTGCTGGTCAGCTGTGACAAGGAGTTCCCCTTCATCCCGCCCTCCGACTGCGACAGCGAGCAAGTGTTCAACAGGGAAGGTAACAGCTCCCCAAATGCCCTGTCCCCAAAATCCCCATTGTCCCCTCACTGTGACCTTTCCTGAGAGGGACCCAGCCCAAGACCCAGCCTAGGAACCAGCTGCTCCCCACCAGCTGCTGAGCAAGCTTCCCACGTGGGAATTTCTGTGGAATTAACGCCACGCCAACCCACTGGAGCCAGGCAGGGCACGGCGGCTGGCCTGGGGGAGGGCTGAGGTTCCAGGGCTGGCACGGCGCGGGCCGGGGATGCTCCACGCAGGTGAGAGGAGCACGGGGTGAGGCACGAGGCTGGCAGCCATGAATCCACCCACCCGTTCCTGGAAAACACAACCCACACGGAGCCAGGCCCGGCGGCGCTCCGAGGTCATGGCCCAGCCGTGCCAGGGAGGGCAGGGAGAAGGAACAGGAAAAGGGCATTTGAGTCACAGCCCATGAGGCACCAGCTCTGGTTTGCCAGGGTGCCCAGGCTGGTGGCGAGGCAAGAGCAGGTGTCTCAGGAAGGAGATCCAAACCCCAGGAGGGAACATGGAGAACCCCACCCGATTTGCTTTGTTTGCTCCCAGATTTGCTGGACATGGCTCAGATGGTGCTGAGGACAGAGGGGCCCCAGCGCCTGCCCCGGGGCTATGAAATCGTCCTCTCCATTTCTGTCAGTGACGCCGACAAAGTTGGGGTCTTCCATGTGCAGAGTAAGGCCTTCCTCACCTCCTGCTCTGCCTCTTCCTCCTCTGCCCCTTCCTCTCCCCCTTCATCCTGTTCCCCTTTCTCCTTTCTCTCTTCCTCCTCTGCCCCTTCCTCCTTTGCCCCATCTTCCTTTTCTCCTTTTCTCCTTTTCTCCTATTCCCCTTCTTTCTCTTCCCCTCTGCCTCTTCCTCTTCCTTCCTTTCCTCCTCTTCCTTTTCCTCCTTTTCCCCTGATTCATCTTCCTCCTCCTCCCCCCGATGATTTTGAGGCCCCACAAGTCCTTTCCTTCCCATCTCTTGACCTTGTCCTCTCCACGCTTCTCAGACCATGCCCCCAACATCCCTTCCTCATTTTTCCCCCATTCTCCCCTCCCATTTTCCCCCATTTTCCCCTCATTTTCCCCTCTTTTCCATCCTGTGAAAAACTCTGGAGATGGACAAGCAGAGGAAGCGGGACACAAAGCCACGCAGCAAAGGGGTGGCAGCAAGTAGCCCGATGTGGTTTTAAGAAAAGGAGGATTTAAACATACATAACATTTGTTTGGCCAGAATCCTGAGGAAATAGGCTGGAACCCTGAGGAAAGAGGTGGGAATCCTGAGAAAAGAGGCAGGAATCCCAAGGAAACAAACAGGCAGGAATCCTGAGAAAACAGGAGTGAATCCCAAGGAAACAGGCGGGAATCTTGAGGAAACAGGCGGGAATCCCAATAAAACTGGGGATTTCCTGTTCCCTGCAGATCCCTTCTTCGGACAGCGCTATGTGCAGGTGCTGGGCTGCAGGAAGCTGTTCCATGCCGTGCCCTACCCCGGTGGGGCCGCCGAGCTCCACTTCTTCGTGGAGGGGCTGTGCTTTCCCAATGAGACCTTCTCCGGGCTGGTATCCATCCACGTCAGCCTCCTGGAGCCACTGGCTGAGGTCGGGAATGCCCAGGAACTCCAGGAACTCCCAGGAATGGGGCAGATGGGAGGCTGCACCCAGCAGATCGGGACGGTGCTGGAATGGAGAGCGATCCCATTAACCAATCCCAAAACTGGCCTCAGGGGAGGGTGTCTGGGGGGAATGGTGTGGGGAATGTCCCTGACTTCTGCTTGGCTCCCTCAGGGCATCCCCCACTCACCGATCTTCACGGACACCGTGGTGTTCCGGGTGGCACCGTGGATCATGACCCCCAACACCCTGGCCCCGGTGAACCTCTTGGTGTGCAGGTACAGGTGGTGCTTCCCCAGCCCCGCCGGCCCTGGGGCCAGGCTGGGAACAGGGAATTTCCATCCTTTCCACCCTTTCCTCCAGCATGAAGGACAACTACCTGTTCACCAAGGAGATCCAGAGCCTGGTGGCCAAGGCCGGCTGCAAGCTGAAGGTTTGCTTCGGCTACATCAACCGTGGAGACCGCTGGATGCAGGTAGGGGGGCTCCAAAAACCTGGAAAACCCTTCCCTGCCGGTGCCCCAGGTGGGATTTCCTCCCTTCCTCAGGATGAGATCAAGCTCGGCTACACCCAGGCTCCCCACAAGAGCTTCCCAGTGGTGCTGGATTCCCCTCGGGAGAGAGGGATGGAGCAACTCCCTGTCAAGGAGCTGCTGGTGAGAGCAGGTTCCCTGTGTTCCCTGTGTTCCCTGTGTTCCCTGTGGAGCAGCTCCCGGGGTCATGCCCAGCCCACGTTCCGATTTCCCAAATCCTCCCTGCCCTTGGCTCCGTGAATGGAATTGCCTGGAAAATGAGAGCAGAGCAGCTCTGGGTGGAGATTCCTTCCCACCCAGCTCCACCCTCACCCCCTCATCCCTTATCCAGCTTCACCCAATCTCAGCCCTCTGGGAAAACTCTGGCCCAGGGGGAAAGGAGGAGCCGGCACCTCTGGGAGTGAAAGGGGAGCCAAGCTCTGGGATGGGATTTCTCCTCAAGCATCCCAGGACAGAGGGTCAGTTTACTTCCTTGAAGGAGAACAGGATGCAGCCAGCCACCTGTGAACATCCTTGTGGGCTCCTTGGCTGAGGAAAAGGACCAGGGCAAGCCTGAGATGGGGCATTTTGGAAGAGCCCAGCATGGAAAAAAGCTGGATTGGGCAATTCCTTGGAGATACCCCATGGGGGAAGGGCGGGACACCCCAGGCAGCCATGGAGTTGCTGTCCCCAACTCCCAGCCGGGTTCTGGAGCAGCCTCAGCCCCAGCAGGAACAGGAGATGAGAACAAATCCCATCTTTTGTCCCTTTGGGGAAGGCTGGGGGCTTTGGGGAGCACTGAAATGCATCATTTCTCATGCCTGGCTTGGGAACATCCAGTCCCAGCCAGCAAATCCGCCGGGTGGCCGCATGGATCTGCCCTCTTTAGGAATTGCTCTGCCTCGTATTTAGGGCAGCAATTTCAGCCTTGGGAGCTGCTAACGCATTATCCTCCAATTTCTGCTTTGAAGCCTGCCCTAATCCCCAGCCCGACCTTTCCAATCTCATTTTCCAGCTAGGAATACTTAGCCCAATGCCACGGGCACAGGTCAAGTCCTGGGCCCTTGGAAACCCATGCCAGGGAAAAAGGAGACGGGAGGGAATTATCCCCTCAAAATCAGGTTGGAACTGATAGGACTTGGATGTGACCCACAAACCTGGGATGAACCAGAGCCCTGACAGTTGAAACCGGGCGGGCTCCGTGGTTTTATTAAACTGAAATTAGTCAGGAGCAGGTGGTTGGTGCTCAGGCCCTCCCTCAGCACCCAGAGAAAAAGGGATCTGATCCTGGCCATCCCCCAAAAATGCACCCCAAAACCGCACAGGAAGCCTCTGGGAAAGCTGTGCTCCCTCTACCCCAGCGTCTCCAAACAGCCTTGGTTTAAAAAGAGACTTTCTGTGTGGAAGAACCCCAGCTCTCCCTGCTCACTTTTCCTGACCTGTATATTTGGGTTATCCCCATGGAAACCCAGCCCTGATAAGTGACTGGGATTTAACTCAAACCTCACGGACACCTGATCTCATCCCAGGGGCTGCCGTGTGCTCCAGGCCTGCATCGACTCCAACCAGAGAGAGGGCAAAGTGGGATTTTGGTCCCATCCCTGCCAGTTTTGCCGTTTTTAACGCTCCCTCGGGCTTTGGCACACAGAGCCCAGCACTAATTACCCCTGCACACACAGCTTCTCCAATCCCAGATATGGCAAATCCTGGAAATCAGGCCTTAAGTGGGATTTAAGTGCCATGCAGCCCTTGGGGTGGCTCTTAGCCCAGGGCAGAGTCACCCTCAGGGGCTGGAGTTCACTTCCCTCCCAGAGCCAGCCAGGAACTTGGCTCAGGGCTGCTTAATTAGCTTAATGTGGACACTTAAACCTTGGCTTAATGCGCACATTTAAACCTTCGCTAGAGAGAACAGAGGAGATCTGGCCTGGCTTAATGTAGACACTTAAAACTTGGCTGGGGAGAACAGAGGAGATCTGGTCCTGGTTAATGTGAGCACTTAAACCTTGGCTTAATGTGGACATTTAAACCTTGGCTGTGGGAGAACAGAGGAGAGCTGGTCTTGCTTAATGTGAATGCTTAAACATGGCTTAATGTGGACATTTAAACCTTGGCTGTGGGATGAGAGGAGATCTGGTCCCAGCTTCAGGCGTGGGCTCTGCTCCCAGGTTGACCCAATTATTCCTGCAGCTCCATGACCCTGAGACCTTTCTCCTGTCCCCTTTCCTGTCCCCTCGCTGTCGCTGTCCTCACCCACCCTGCAGGAAGATAACACCGCGGCAGCAGCGGGCACTCAGGGCATTTCCTTTTTCACAGGGCCCCAATTTTGGCTACGTGCACAAGGAGCCCCTCTTCGAGGCCGCGGCCAGCCTGGACTCCTTTGGGAACGTGGAGGTCAGCCCGCCTGTGTCCGTGGCTGGCAAGGAGTATCCCTTGGGAAGGATCCTGATCGGCAGCAGCTTCCCCACGTAAGAGACGGGGAAACACAGATTTGGGAAAAACATGGATTTGGGAGCATGTCCTCAATAGGTGCCCTGAAACACCACCAAGATCGGGGTAATTGGGTCAGTCGGACATTGCCTGCACAGGGTGGGGACTCCCAGCTCCACCACCTCAGAGGCAATTTATATCTGAGGGTCCAGGCAGATGTTGATGGGAATACCCCCCAGTCCAAGAATCCAGGCAGATGTTGATGGGAATTCTCCCCAGATCCGCGGGCCGCAGGATGACCAGGCTGGTGCGGGATTTCCTCTACGCCCAGCGCGTCCAGGCCCCCGTGGAGCTCTACTCTGACTGGCTGGCCGTGGGCAACATCAATGAGTTTGTCAACTTTGTCCCAACCTCTGACAAAAAGGTACCCCCAGACCCCCCGTGCTGCCCCAGGGCTCCTCCTCCAGGACACTGATCCCCCTGGGAAAACCCCAGAGCTCCCTCCTTTGGCACCCCAGCCAGTGTTTCCTTGGGTTTCATTCCCCACCCCAAAATGAGGGATCTGAGCACAAAAAAAGGGATTTGCTGGGCTATTAACGAACGCAAATAGAAAGGAAAAGGTGCTACAAAGGTATCCAAGAAAATCCAGCCTTAAGATTCCTGGGGGTCTGCAACGGTTCAGCATCTCCCAGAGGTTTTCAGAACATTTCTCTTCCCTCTCTTGTGGCTTTTCCTGCTTCTGACATGGATTTTCCCTCAGGGAAACCAAGCCTTGACCACGATGGTTCAAAAAAACAAAAGGAATATTTATGCCCACATGTTTTCAGATAATTTCTCTTCCCTCTGTCATCGTTTTCCCTGCTTCTGACATGGGTTTTTTCCTCAGGAAAACCAAGCCTTGACCAGGATGGCTCAAAAAAAAGAAGAATATTTATGCTCACATGTTCTCAGATCGTTTCTCTTCAGTCTATCATTGCTTTGGCTGCTTCTCACATAAATTTTCCACTCAGGCAAACTGAGCCTTGACCTGAATGGCTCAAAAATAGAATATTTAGGCACATAAACCCTCCAGAGGTTAAACGAGGCACTAGATGACAGCAAAGACTCCAGATTTTAAGAGTTTTAATCAGCTTGGGATTTTGCAGAAGTGAGTCCTGGGGCGCTGCAGGGCTGCAGCTGACCCGGCCGTGTTCCCGCAGCGATTCCGGATGCTGCTGGCCAGCCCGGCCGCCTGCTACCGGCTCTTCCGTGAGAAGCAGAAGGAGGGTCAGGGAGAAGCCACCATGTTCAAAGGCAAGGGGACAGCGCTCAGTGGCACAGCCAGGGCCATGCAGGGACATTTCCCCGCTGGGTGTCCTTCAGCGGGATGCCTGCTCGCCGCCCCCAGCCTCCTCCAGCCCTATTTCGGGAAAACGAGTGGGATGGGAGGGATAAGGGTCTCTGCGTGGAGGGGATGTTTGCTGCCAGGGATGGAGCCTCTGGAAATGCCAACAGAGCTCCAGCACGGAGCAGGACAACTGGAAGCTCTCCTATCCATATTGGAGCTGGGTTTTTCCATTTCATTGTGGTTTTGATCTGTGGCAGGGTTGGGAGAAGGTCTCCAAACTGTGTTTTTTCCATTTTGCTGTGATTTTGATCCATGGCGGGGTTGGGAGAAGGTCTCTGTATCCAAGGGTTCCTCTGGTGGGAGCCCGGCTGTCCCCAGACCAGGGGTGACCCCATGGAGAGGAACGCTCTGGAGAAATCCACTGGATCCCTATGGGCAGGAGGATGGATGACAGGACTTTTCCAATGCTGTTTCCAATGGGCAGAGACTTCTTCCCTTCAGCTTCTCAAACTTTCATCCCAGCCTCAGGAAATTGGGATTTTGGGGTTTAGGGCTTTATTTTTTTTGGCGTTTTGGGCTTTCTCCATCTCTATACCCTACCTCAAGCCAGGCTCCTGCCAGCACTGCTTCATTTTGAGGGTGTTTTTTGTGTTTAGGGTACTCGGGGACAGATACCAAGCGCGTCACCATCAACAAGGTGCTGTCCAACGACGTTCTGGCGCAGCAGAACCAGTACGTGCAGGTAATCCCCACACTCTGGGTCACAGCCCCCATTTCTGGCAGGGACCACCCAGTATGGCACAAACCCCACAGGGAGTGGTGGAATTTGGTCCCCCTCTGCTCTGCTCCATCCCCTGCAGCGCTGCATCGACTGGAACAGGGATATCCTCAAGAAGGAGCTGGGCTTGCTGGAGGAGGACATCATCGACCTGCCGGCCCTCTTCAAGCTGGACAAGCAGGGAAAAGCCGTTCCCTACTTCCCCAACACGGTAATGGGGGGTTCCCATTCTTGGCTCCTCCCCAAAAAACAGCTGCGCCAGCCAGGATGAGTCCCCAAAGTTTTTCTGAAAAAGAAAAAGCAGCTGTCTAGAAAAGGGAAATATCTCCAGGATAAACATAGGTTTAACACAGCGTGGTGGCTTTGGGGTTTTGAGGCAAAACCCTTTCAAAGCAGTGAAATTGCAAGCTGAGAGGCATATTTTCCCCAAAGTTTTCCCAAAAAACCCCTCTAGCTGTCTAGCAAAAGGAAATATATCCAGGCAGGGATGGATAAACACAGGTCTAACACAGCTTGGTGGCTTTGTGGTGCTTGCAGTGGGATTTTTAGAAAAAGTGGTGAAATTGCAAGGGGTGAGGCATGTTTTAATGATAAAAAGGTGAAAATTCTGTTGGATTTGGAATCCTGAGAAAGGGCAGCTGCAAAAAGTGGTACTGAGGAGGGTGGAGGAGAGTGATCAGTGTATTTCCTCTGGCTTCATCCGTTTCAACACTGCTAGTGTCAGCCTGCAGGTCACCAGGATCATCCTGGCCAGGGACCTAGGGGCATCCCCAAGCCCTTCAGTGTAACCCATTCTGATGCCAGCATCCCCTGGTGTCACCCCACAGATCACCATGATCGTGCTGGCCAGGGACCTGGGCATCCCCAAGCCGTTTGGCCCGGTGGCAGGTGGCGAGTGCTGCTTGGAGCGGCGGATCCGAGCGCTGCTGGAGCCGCTGGGGCTGTGCTGCCGCTTCCTGGAGGACGTGGCCTCCTACCACGGCAGCCTCGGCGAGGTGCGCTGTGGCACCAACGTCCAGCGCCGGCCCTTTGCCTTCCAGTGGTGGCACTTCACACCATAGCCAGGCCTCTTCTTCATCCTCTTCCTCCTCTTCCTCCTCCTCCCTCCACCTTTGCCCCCAGCGTGTGTTGCTTGTGATTCCCTTAATAAATGAATTTGCTGTGAGGAAAAAGCTGGGGAATTAAATAACCAAATAATTAATAATTAATTATTAATTAATAATTATGTCGGGAATAACTGGGAGGGAAACAGAGGGAGTGCTCAGAGAGGTGGGGAAGTTACTAAAATCCTCCAAAATTGTCTCTACCACTGTTTTTGTGGTGGTGGTGAGTCAGGCATCACTTTATTCTCAGGCAGGGTTTGTGTGTGGCTGACAGAGCTCCAGCCTCCACATCAATACAAAATGTTTTCATTTATCTACATGTTTTTAACACAGAAATTAGTGGTCATGGGTTCTAATAATGCTCTTCATTGATTAGCAGCCTGTCCACTATTGGTTATTGATCTCTCACTCTTCATGCTAAGCTGGGCCACATCCTTGAGTTCTTTTATCGTCCTTTTCTCATCTTTTTCAATTGGGAATCCCCAACTTTCCAGGCCTCAATCTCCTCTGCGTCTTCTTCTTACTCCAGTGTCCTTAAAGGTCCATAAATTTGAGATCCCAGATGTCCAATCTTCAACTCCCTTTGGCTTTATGGAAGCTTGTCAGGGTTAGCTTTAACAAACTCAAGGTCTCAGTGATTTAATGATCAAAATAGCAGTAAGAATCGAGAGCAGTGAAGAAGTTTTAATTTGTGCTTGCTAAAAGTGGGCACTGCTTACAAGTAATTGTAACAATTAATTAAAAACTAATTAGGAAAGTTACATCATCTCCAACAGAGCCATTTCTTTTTGGCAGGGGCTGCCCAGGGAGGTTTGGAGTGCCCATCCCTGGAGGTGTCCAAGGAAGGGCTGGATGTGGCACTCACTGGGCTGGGGACAAGGTGGGGATCAGCCACGGCTTAGACTTGAAGGTCCTGGAGGGACCTTGGAGGGCTTTTCCTGCCTTAGTGTCTCTGGGACTCTTTGCTCCCCAGCACCCACCATTTGCCCCATTGATGTTGGGGCAGGTCTCCTTGAGGAGGCGGGTAGCAGAACAGATATCTCCATGCAAAATAATGATTCTGGGAATTAACAGACAGAAAACAAGGGGATTTAGGAAAGAAAAAGGGGGATTTAGGATAGAAAAAGGGGAATCTAGGAAAACAAAAGGGGGTTTGGGGCGTCCTGTCCCACAGGGTGCGCCACACCCAACATGGCGCCTCTCTTGAGGGCAGGAGGCGGGTAGCAGAACAGATATCTCCATGCAAAATAATGATTCTGGGAATTAACAGACAGAAAACAAGGGGGATTTAGGAAAGAAAAAGGGGAATCTAGGAAAACAAAAGGGGGTTTGGGGCGTCCTGTCCCACAGGGTCCTGTCCCACAGGGCGCGCCACACCCAACATGGCGCCTCTCTTGAGGGCGCCGCCACACTCAAAATGGCGGGAGCCCCTTCCCGTCAGAACACAACATGGCGGTGAGGGGGTGCTTCCGGGGCATGTGGAAGTGCGCAGCGCCAAGATGGCGACGGCCGCGGTCGGAGTCTCCTTGAGGCGCGGAGTCCCCGCGCGGTTCCTGCGGGCCGGACCGCGGGCGGTGAGGGGCCGGGGCGGCCGTGGGGGCTGGCAGTGGAGCGGGGGGAGGCGAGGCGGAGGCGGCCGGGGGCTACAGGGGCCCGGGAGGGGTGTGGAAGAGAAGGGCAGTGAGTGAGGGGGAGAGGGAGCTTTGGAGACGGGGCTGGAGCTGAAGTGTGGGGTCTGGAACTGGATTGTGGGGGAATTAGGGATGGACAGGAGGGCAGGGCTAGGGAAGGGGCTGGGGGCAGGAGGAGGTGAGGTAAAAGGGGGGAAGAAGGGGTGGGAGAAGAGGGGGGGATGGGGGCAGAGAGCAGCTGGAAGGGTCTGGAAAGGGTTTAGGGGAGATAAAGGACAACAGGAAATTTGGGGAGTGGTTCAGGAAAAGGCTGGGAAGAGCAGTGGGACCATTCCAGGAGAAGGTTGGGAAGAGCAGTGGGAGCAGGGCAAGGGTGATCCTGGGAAGAGCAGGAGCTGCTCAGGAATTCCAGGATAACCGGGCAGGGAGAGCTGCTGAGGTTTGGTGGATCCAGGAGCTGGTGGGGGTCGGAATTTTGTGAATATTGGTCTGGCTCTGGGCAGGGGGAGCCCCAGGATATATTTATATAAAATGTTTTAATTTATATAAAAATACTTATCTTTTATCTATATATAAACATGTAAATGTAAAAATCTCTATATATGTTTATGTATTTGTAATTTTAATGTAATTTTATATTTATTTATAAATATAAATATATTAATATAATGTGTGTATATACATTTATGTACAGACATTATATATATAATATATATATAAATAATGTATATAAAACGTATGCATAAAGATATATGGATGTAAAATATAATTATATTATTGTAATTACACATGCAGCACAATATACAAATACTTACCATTTACAAACACATCTATAAATACATGTAATTTATAAGCATACATAGAATATATGAATTTGTTCCATATAAAATGCATTGTATACTTATATATACATATGTATATTTGTGTGTACATATAAATACAAGTATGATGTGTTCTATATGATGTGTAATATCTCTAAAAATACATAGAGTATATGTAGGATATATAAATGCATAAACTATAATTTTAAACACAATATATAAATAAAGTAAACATGTAATTATGTCATTATAATGACAGTCAGTAGAATATACAAATGCATACATATAATTTATAAACACATAATTTATAAATAAAATGCACCATAAACAATGTGCACGTGTTTGCACATACATTTACATGTTTGTGCATCTATGTTTATATATACATATTTATGAATATATATCACATACAATGTGTTATATAATCTATGTAATGCATTATATGATATATAAGTACACACAATATAATAATAATGGGAATACACACAGCATACAGTGTACACATAGGTACCCACATGTAATTCCAAGCACATTTATCATGTTTATATGTATAGGTGTGTAAAAATGTTTGTAGTTATTATCTTTTAAAATCTTTATATATATATATACATATATATTTAATATGTTTTTTAATATATACACACATATCCATCTCTGTATCTCGTCCTGGATCCCTCCTGGTGGGATCTGAGCTGTTTTTCCTGGCATCCAGGGTGGGACCTGAGGCTGTTTTTCCCTGGATCTGAGGCTGTTTTTCCCTGGATCTGAGGCTGTTTTTCCTGGCATCCAGGGTGGGACCTGAGGCTGTTTTTCCCTGGATCCAGGTGCTCCGGCAGGCGCAGACGGCGGCGGCGGCGCCGCGGCTGAAGAAATTCGCCATCTACAGATGGGACCCCGACAAGGCCGGGGACAAACCCCGCATGCAGACCTACGAGGTGGACCTGAACAAGTGGGTGTCCCTTGGGAATGTGGCTAGGGAGCAATCCCAGCTCCAGGGAATGGCTAGGAAGGGTTGCTTCCCTCTGGCACAGAGCAGCTCATTGTGGGCACAGCCACCGTGGGTGTCATCCCAGGAAAAAGTCGATTTAAGCAGATTTTCCACATGAAAAAGCAGATTTTCTACAGGCACTGTGGGTGTTATCCCAGGAAAAAGCAGATTTTCCACATTTCTGGACCATCCCTGGGATGGGTTAAAGAGGTTATGGTGGCTTTAATGAACTTGATTTATGTGGGAAGTTTGGGGGAAGAAGAAAGGAGAGCAGCTTTTCCCAAGGCCAGGTGGTGTCAGGAGCAGTGACAGGGGACAGGGTTTGAACTGGAAGAGGAGAGGTTTGGGTGGCATACTGGGAAGGAATTCTTCCCTGAGTGAGGTTTAAATGGGATATTGGGAAGGAATTCTTACCCAGGAGGCTGGCACAGAATTCGCAGTGAAGCTGTGGAAGTGTCCCAGGCCAGGCTGGATGGGACTTGGAGCCATCTGGGGTAGAGGAAGGTGTCCCTGCCCCTGGGAATAGGATGGGAAGGTCCCTCCAGCCCAGCCCCTTCTGGGATTCTGCATTCCAGGAGGCAATTCCATGTGCAGCTCACGATTCCCAGGGAGAGAAGGTGGGAGCTCTATCTATCCTTCCCATGGTTTATCCACACCTGGCTGTGGCCTCCCAGAGCAGCTCCTGCTTCCCTGGGATCCTAAGAAGGGGCTCAGAAACCTCCCTGTGGATGCTGGGCCTGAATTCCCAGGAGCTCCTCCAGTGGAACCCACCCCAAACACTTCCCAGGAGCTCCTCCAGAGGAATCCACCCCAGACCCTTCCTGAGGGGTCCCCCCCAAACCATTCCAGGAGCTCCCACTCCCACCCAGCCCCTACTCAAACCCCACAGGAGCCACAGCTCCGGTTTTGGGGTGGCTTTGCCCCAGTGAATAATCCCTGGGTGGTGCCCTGGGTGTAAAATGACAGAAGTTGTCCCCAAGTGTTTGTCCTGTGTCCCTTATGACTCACGGGGCCAGACAGGGCTGTCACAGCCTGACCCAGAGAGGGGAAGAGGGGCCAGCACAGGTCACTGGCTTTGGGTTGGCCGTACACTCAGTGGTCACAAGGGTCTGACCCACCCTGCCCCTGGGCTGCCCTGCTGGTCAGAGATCCCTGTTTAATCCCTGGGATTCACACAGAATTAGTGGGAATTGTTAAAAACCCTTTTAGGTGCTGCTGAGTGTGGGTGCAGGGGTCAGACCCTGCATCTGGGGGCTCTGCAGGGTTGGTGATTTGGGATTTGTGCCACAGGTGTGGGCCCATGGTGCTGGATGCCCTGATCAAGATCAAGAACGAGATGGACTCCACGCTGACCTTCCGCAGGTCCTGCAGGGAGGGTAAGGACAGCACATTCCCACCTGGAATGCCCTTGGAATGCTGTGTGTGCTGACTGTGGGAGCCCCAGGGAGCTCAGAACCCCTGCTCTCACACCCCTGGGGATAGAATACCCGAGTGAATCAGGGAGTGAAACTGCTCAGAACCCCTCTCCTTGCACTGTGGGATAAAACACACAAATAAACCAGGGAGTGAAACTGCTCAGAACTCCTCTCCTTGCACTGTGGGATAAAACACCCAAATGAACCAGGGCGTAAAACTCAGAACCCCTCTCCCCCGACCTCGGGATAAAACACCCAAAGGAACCAAGGAATAAAGCTGCACAGAACCCCTGTCCCTTCCCACCTCTGAGGATAAAACACCCGAGTGACCCAAGGAGTAAAGCTGGAGTTGGTGCTCCCAGGGTGTAATGACACAGTTCTGAGCTGCCAGCTCCAGTAATTCCTTCCAGAGCTCCCAGTTGTTCCAGTTTCTCTCCCAGTCTGGTTCTTCAGCTGCCTCCCAGTGCATGGGGAGATCAGGGAGAGATTCCAGTGGCAAGGCTGAGCGGGCAGGGCTGGAATGGGAGCAGTGGGGGCTGTGCCAGTGCTGCTGTGGGAATCAGATTGGGTGAACTGGGAGAGAGCACTCGGGACTTCGAGGAACAGCTCCAGGAATCTTCTCTTTGGCCCTTTGGCCGAGGGCAGGGGTGGAGGGAGGAAAAGGGCACTGGTGATTTGGGGTTGTGGCTGCTCCCAAATCTGGTTTGGGGCTGCTCTCAGACTTCCCCTGGGAAAAACTCCTGAGTCACGGGTCACGCTGGGCTGTGGGAGTGCATTCCTGGCTGGAATGACTCTGAATTTAGGGTCCTGCTGGGGTGTGGGAGTGCATTCCAAGCTGGAATGACTCTGGATTTAGGGTCGTGCTGAGCTGTGGGGTTGCATTCCTGGCTGGAGTCGCTCTGGATTTAGGGTCCTGCTGAGCTGTGGGAGTGCATTCCAGGCTGGAATGACTCTGGATTTCGGGTTGTGCTGAGCTGTGGGGTTGCATTCCTGTCTGGAATGACTCTGCATTACCGAGGTGGGTCTGGAGGCAGGGGCAGTCTGAGGGCAGGCGGTGCCTGGGGATGTTTTGTCTGGGGTGGGAATGGAAAGCAGCATGCCCGAGGTACCTTTTCCTCTGGAATCTGCATGGCAAGGCAGGAATTCCACACGGAGTGGGGCTCCCAGACAGAACTCTTGCCCTGAATATTTTCCCTGGACAGGATGGGTTTTCAGGCTGGGCTGGTTCCATCCTGGCCCTCTGTGGCGGCTCCCCCAGTCCCACATTCCTGCTGCAGGCCCTGCTCCCCTCCCCAGCTGGCTGAAAAATGCTTGGGAGCCTTTCTGCAGTGGGAGGAACCTCTTGGCAGTGCCAGGGGCTGGGACACCCTCAGAGGGGTCATTTCATCCCTTTGTTGGGCTATTTTTGTGCCCCTGCTGCCTCTGGTCACCTTTGGGAGGGCAGTTTGTGCCCTGGGAATGGGCACGAGGGGAGGGGGCCCCTGCCTGGGAGAATGGGAGAATTCCTGAATTTTGAGGATTATTTGGGTATTTTATTCCCCTTCTGTGAGGAGAGGCTGTGGGAGCTGGGCCTATTTGTTCCAGAGATGGGGAGGCTGAGAGGGGATCCCATCAATCCTTATTTGTATTCCCAGGGGGTGCCAGGGGATGGTCCCAGTCCCAGACCCTTCCCAATGGTGCCCAGAGACAAGACAAGGAGCAGCAGCCACAAAACACTAAAATTCCATTAAAACACAAAAATTCCAGCTGAACCTTTGCAAAGAAGTTCTTTCCCTGGAGTGGAACTCCAGCTCCAGCTTCTAGAGGGAAGAAGGTTGGAATGAGGTTTGTGAGGGTTTGTGAGTTTGCTGTCACTTGGATCCATCCTGTGACCTCAAAGGCTGTGAAAGGAAGGGCAGTGTCAGCCTGGATTCCAGATTTTAGGGAAAAAGGGGTGCTGAGCACCTCCTCTGACAGCTAATCCCATCAGTAGCAACATACTTGTGGGTTTACTCCATCCTGGATCCGTCCTGTGACCTCCCAGCACAGAAAGGAAAGACAAAACCAGGCTGAATTGGGGCTTTTAGGGGCAAAAAATGTTGGACAGTGCCCAGCAAGGTCCCAAACCCCCCCTGGACACATTCCAGTGCCACCTGCTCCAGGGATGGGCTGGATGGTTCCCAGAGGTCCCTTCCATCCCTGCCAGCCCTGGGATTCTCTGGCTGAGGAGGCTGCAGCAGTTCCCCACGTTTTAATGCCATTTTTATTGTGTTTTTCTATTTTTAATTTATTTTATGCCTCTTTTGGCTCCCGCCTCGTGCCCCAAATCTGGGAGCAGAGCTGGATGTTCTCCCCTCCCCAAATCACACTCAAGGTCCCTCATTTGCTACTGGGGAAGGAGCTGCCCCGTGGAAAAAGGGGTTTTGGTGCTGATGAAAGCAGCTCCCGTGTTTGATCCCTGCTGAAGTTTAAAAATGTTCAGCCCCAGTGGTGAATTCCAGCATTCTTCTTGTTTGGGGCATTTGTGGGTTGGATGAAGATCCTGGTGCAGTGGGAGGGGTTTTTTGGGACTCTGGTGGATTGGGAAGAGGTTTTTTGGGACCCTGACAGGTTGGGAAGAGGTTTTCCAAGGCAGATGAGGACACTGATAGAACAAGAAGGGTATTTTTGGGGGTGGGTGAGGCCTCTGGAGGAGGGGGAAGAGGCTTTTCCAGAACCTGTGATGAGGTTTTCTGGGATGGGTGAGGACCCTGGTATGGTGAGAAGAGATCTTTGGGGTAAGTGAGGATTCCAGAAGGTTGGGAAGAGCCTTTCCAGGAGATTTTTTGGGACAGGTGAGGACCCTGGTGGGTTGGGAAGGGGTTTTCCAAGACCCTGTCAGGTTGGGAAGAGGCTTTTTGGGATCCTGGTGGATTGGGAAGACCGAATAGAGTTTCCCCAGGACAGCCCAGGGGGATTTTTGGGGCCAGCAGGGAGAATCCCACACTTGGCTCTGCTTTTCCCCCTCAGGGATCTGCGGCTCCTGCGCCATGAACATCGCGGGGGGCAACACCCTGGCCTGCATCAAAAAAATCGACAGTGACCTCAGCAAAGTCACCAAAATCTACCCCCTGCCCCACATGTACGTGGTGAAGGACCTGGTTCCGGTGAGTGCAGGGCTGGCAGCAGCCAGGGGACACCAGGGCTGGGAGCAGGGCGTGGCAGCTGCCACCAGGCTCAGGGCTCACTCGTCCCTTGGGTGGGTCCCAGTGACTAAATGTGTGCTGGCCTGGAATGTGGCAGACCTGGGGAGGAAATGGCACCTCCTGGTCGGGTGTTCAGGTGTGAATTTGGCGTGAAGCTGTGCCAGGAGGGGATTTAGGTGGGATTTTGGGAAGAGGCTCTGCCCCTGAGGGTGGGGCTGAAGGGAGGGGTCAGGGCCCCACGGCATGGACAGCAGGGGTGGGATTTGGGGTGGATCTAGCTGGGGATGTTCCCTGTTTCTCCTCAGCCCCATAACCAGATCCCTGTGCTTTTTCTGCCCCAGGACCTGAGTAACTTCTACGCCCAGTACAAATCCATCGAGCCCTACCTGAAGAAGAAGGACGAGTCCAAGGAGGGCAAGCAGCAGTACCTGCAGTCCATAGAGGATCGCCAGAAACTGGTCACTGCAATTTCAGTGCTGAAACCCCTCCCAGAGCAGCCCAGGGTCACAGCTGAGCCCTCAGCCCCTTCCCAGTCCCACACCTGATCCCACAGCTGGGGCTGCTGGCTCAGGGCAGGGAGCTGGGCTTGCCAGGGGGGCTCTGATCCCATTCCCCCACATCCCATTCCCCTGTGGAATTCCTGCTGCTGGGAGCACTCTACAGGTTCCAGGCTGGAGCAGTCCAGTGGGGAGAGGGTGTCTGGCTGTGCTCCCACCTCGCTGGGGTTTTGTAGCCTGGAAAGCTGGGAAAAGCCAGAGTGCAAGATTTGGGGTGTCTGTCTTGAGCAGGGGGGATTTTGAGGGGAGTTTTTTGAGCGTGGATGAGGAACAACTCTTTACAAGGCTAGTGGTGTAGCCAAGGTTTGGGGTGGATTTCCGTGGCTGCCACAGGGATTAGCAGTAGATCAGGAGGGGTTTTTCCTCTGAGCTGCCAGGATGGATCCATCATTCCAGGATTCCGAGCTCAACCTGTCCCTGCTCTGCTGTGGAGGCACCAAATCTCCATTTTGGGATGGGAGAGGTGGATGTGAACAGCAGGAAGGGAGACTGAGCAAAGGGGGTTCAGGGAAACACTGCAGGTGTCTCCTGCGTGTCTGCAGCTGAGCTGACATCCCATAATAGCCCCTGGTGTGACACTTGAGCAGCCCCAGGGCTGCACAGGCTGCAGGAATCTCTGTCCAGGGGCAGCACTTCCAGCTTCTCTGATCCCTAAGAGCTCCCAAGGGACTTTCCCTGCCCTGGGAGTCCCTTTCCAGCCAGGTAGGAACAAGGAAACCCAAAAGCCAACCCTGGAAAATGGCTCTTGATCCCTGTACTGGAATTCCTCTCCCTTTGGGATCAGCCCCTCTGCAGGAGAAACTTGAATTTGGCTGAAAATTTCCTTTAAATCCTTGATCCTTTGGAGTGGTGCAGTTAAAAATGAGATTTGGAGTGGGGAGAGGGAGCTCTGCCCTCGGGGCTTGGCAGCTCTTCCCAAAGGCTTGTTAGGAGCTTCTGGGAATTCTGGCACCAGGAATCTCCCTGAACTCAAACTTTTATCCCAAAATAACTTTCAAGAACGTGAATTGAGCCAGGCTGGGCTCTGTCTCTGTCTGGGGGAAGTTGCTGGGCCACAGGGAGGCTCTGGGGACCCTGAGCTCCTCAGTTTCCTGTGCGGGATGAGGAATCAGCTCCTGGTTCCAGCAGGAATGAGCAGAGCTGCCTGGATCACTTCCACATGAACTGAACTCCTGTGCCTGGAAGAAAACTGCCCATAAAAACAGGGAAGTGATCCAGGACTGGCCCCGTTCCCATGCCAGGGTGCCCTCAAGGACAGGCTGCACCCGGAGCTGCCAGGCAGACTCTGCCCTCCCTTCCTGCTGGGCACACCTGGGATTGTCCACTGGGGACAAATCCCTGCCTGTGCTGGCTGGAATGGGCTGGGAGGAGGTGGGAGTGCAGGAGAACTGAGTGGGGAGAGCCCGAGGTGGGAGTGCAGGAGAGCCCGAGGCAGGAGTGCGGGAGATTTGTGTGGAGTTTAGAGTTAGGCACTAATGCAGCACAGGATCTGAAAACTACAGAATATAAAAGCCACCGGCATCAGTGCCACCGGCCTGGCCTGGCACTCCTGGGGGGGTGTCACTGTGGGATCCCCAGCTGGTGCCAGCAGGGTGTGTGTCCCCAGCAGTGTTTGTGTCCCTGGCAGTGTCCATGTCCCCAGCAGGGTGTGTGTATCCCCAGCGGTGTCCCAGTAGTGTCCCTGTCCCAGCAGGGTGTATGTGTCCCTGTCCCCAGCAGTGCCCCAGCAGTGTCCCTGTCCCCAGCAGTGTCCCAGCAGTGAACCAGCAGTGTCCCTGTCCCAGCAGTGTCCCTGTCCCCAGCAGTGTCCCAGTCCCAGCAGTGTCCCAGTCCCTGCAGTGCCCCAGCAGTGTCCCAGCAGTGTCCCTGTCCCAGCAGTGTCCCAGCAGTATTCCCTCCCGCGATGAGTTCACGGAGGAGCGCCTGGCGCAGCTGCAGGACCCGTTCTCGCTGTACCGCTGCCACACCATCATGAACTGCACCCGCACCTGCCCCAAGGTACAGGGACAGGGGCATGGGCTGGCACGGGGGGACACGGGGGCATGGGGAGACACAGCCTGGCGTGGGGGGACACGGGCTGGCACAGGGGCGACATGGGGCACAGCCTGGCATGGAGAGGACACAGGACATGGGGCACAGCCTGGCATGGAGGGGACATGAGTCACTGGGGCAGTGTCACAGTCTGGCATGGAGGGGACATGAGTCACTGGGGCAGTGTCACAGTCTGGCATGGAGGGGACATGGGTCACAGCCTGGCATGGGGGGAGCAGTCAGATCACAGTGGCAGTGCCAGCCCTGCCAAGGCACCAGGACATGGCACTGGCCCAGGCTGCTCCAGCCAGGCCTGGGCACTGCCAGGGATCCAGGGGCAGCCACTCTAGGATTTCCATCCCAGGGCCTCTCCACGCTCACAGGGAGGGGTTTATCCCAATTTCCCACCTAAACCAGCATGTGGAATCCTGGAGTGGTTTGGATCGGAAGGGACCTTAAAGTTCCTCTCATTCCATGGCAGGGACACCCTCCACTGTCCGAGGGTGCTCCAGCTCCATCCAAGCTGGACTTGGATGCCTCTAGGACTGGAGCAGCCACAGCTTCTCTGGGAATTCCGTCCCAGGGCCTCTCCTCCCTCACAGGGAGGGATTTACTCCAATATCCCACCCAAACCTCCCCTCTGTCACTTCAAACCATGTCCCCTTATACTGTCACTGCCTGTCCCCATCCCTCCTTTTCCCAGGCCCTCCTGAGCTGTAGCAAGGCCACAGTGAGGTCTCCCCATCCCTTTTCCATGTCTTTTCTGGAATTCCTGTTGGTTTCCATAGGAAAAGATCCTTTTAGGTCCCAGTTATCCCCAGACTTCCCTGTTCTGCTCAGCCTGGGGACATCCAGAGCTCCCAGCAGAGCTGGGATCAGCTTTTCCTCCTCTGATCCCAGGATTTGGGAGCAGGGCCCTGCCAGGAGAGCTCCTGGGAATTTCTGAGTGCTCCAAGGAATTTCTAATCCCTTCCTGTGCAGAGCAGAGGGATTTTTCCCAGTGTGGCTGTGCCTCTTCCCAGCCTCGCTGCTGGGAGCTGGGAGTGAGGAGTTGCTCCCTGTCCGGGCTCAACACCACAGCTTTCATCATCCCAGAGCAGGAAAACCCCACACCCCTGGGGTCAGGCTGTTCCCAGGCTGCCTCTGGAAATCCAGACAGCCATAAAACCTGGAATTCTGTCCTGAATCTCTCTTTGATCCCCATCAAAGCCCAGCTCCAGGGGAGAGTTTGGCTCCAGGGGCAGGAGGGGAGCTCCAGCTCTGCGTCCTGCTCTGGGCTGGGCCACTCTTCCTGGGGAAACTGAGGCTGGAATGGGACAGAGCTATACCAGTCCCCCCTGGAATTCCCAGTCTGCCCCCAAACTGAGGCTGGAATGGGCCTGGACCCACTGGAATTCCCAGTCTGCCCCCAAAGTGAGGCTGGGATGGGGCACAGCTGCACCTGGACCCTCTGGAATTTCCAGCCTGGCTGGAGTCAGAGCTGGCCCAGGTGTCCTGAGCCTCCCTGGGCATGGAAAGGAGGGCTCATGTCAGGCTGGACTGGGATTTTTAGGGAAAAAAGAGGTGTTGAGCAGCTCCTCTAACAAATATTTTAATGAGTAGCAGCACATTTGCTATGACTTCAATCTGTCCTGCAGTCTCCCAGCACAGAAAGGAAGGACAATATCAGCCAAATTCCAGGTTTTAGGGGATAAAAAAGTGGGGTAGCAGCAGATTTGGGAGTTTGCTGTCACTTGGATCCATCCTGTGACCTCCCAGGGTTTGGAAGGAAGGACAGAATCAGTTCAACTCCAGCTTTTAGGGAAAAAGGAATGCTGAGCACCTGCTCAGTGCAGAGAGGAAGGACAATATCAGCTGAATTCCAGGTTTTAGGGGGAAAAAAGGTGGAGTAGCAGCAGATTTGTGAGTTTGCTGTGACTTGGATGCAGAGTGTGACCTCCCAGGGTTTGGAAGGAAGGAGAATATCTGGCTGAACTCCAGGTTTTTGGGAAAAAAGGGGTGCTGAGCACCTCCTGTACCAAGTATTTCTATGAGTAGCAACATGTTTGTGATTTTATTGTGGCTTGCATCCCACCTGTGACCTCCCAGTGTTTGGAAGGAAGGACAGAACCAGCTCAGTTCCAGGTTTTGGGGGGGAAAGAGGTGGAGTAGCAGCAGATTTGTGAGTTTGCTGTGGCTTGGATCCATCCTGTGACCTCCCAGCTTTTACAAAAAGGACAGAACTAGCTGAATTCCAGCTTTTTTTGGGGAAAAAAAAAGGTGGAATAGCAGCAGGTTTGGGATTTATTACAACTGTAGCCCATCCTATGACCTCCTGGGGTTTGAAAGGAAAGGAGAGTATCAGCTGAGTTCCAGGTTTTAGGGAAAAAAAGGTGGAACAGCAGCGGGTTTGGGAGTTCAGTAGGGCTGTGATGAGGAGGAGGGAGGGGAGGAAGGAAGGAGGGAGGGGAGGGAGGTGCTGCAGCCCCCCCAGACTCTGACCTGCTCCTCCCACAGGGGCTGAACCCCGGCAAAGCCATCGCTGAGATCAAGAAGATGATGGCGACCTACAAGCAGAAGGCAGCGACTGCCTGAGGGCTGAGTGACCCAGAGTGACCTGGAGTGACCCCAGAGTGACCCAGAGTGACCCTCACACCTGTGCCAGGGTCACTGTGCACCTGCAATAAAGGCTGTAAAGAACAGCACGGGCTCCATCCTTTATTACTCATTTGTTATTCATTTATTATTCATCCATTAATTCCCTTCGTGGAGCGTTTTGCCATCGCAGAGCTCTCGGGGCTGGAGCAGCTGGGAGTCCTGGGACTGGCTGGGAACAGGGAATGGTGGAGGGATCCTGAGCCTGAAATCCCAAAACTGAGGGTTTGGAGCTCCCAGGAGGCAGGATGGGGACAGATCCACCAGGAACAAGGTGTCCTGTCCCACCCCTTTCGACCCTGATTTACATTGCTGATTTTTAGTCCAAATCCCAAGAAAGTGGGATTTTTCAGAGTTGAATCTTCTTTTTCTCTGTGATATTTTTACCTCCAGATCCCAGATCCACCAGGAGCAAGGTGTCCTGTCCCACCCCGTGAGACCGTGGTTTGTATTCCTGATTTTTTTTCCAAATCCTAAGGAAATGGGATTTTTAGGGGTGGATCTTCCTCTTTTCTCTAAAACAACTGCTTTTTTTTTACCTCCAGATCCCATTCCCCCAGGAGTGAAGTATCCTGTCCCACCCCATAGGGACCCTGGTTTGTATTCCTGATTTTTAGTCCAAATCCTAATAAAATGAGGGGTTTTAGGGTTGAATCATCTTCTTCTCTCTGATATTTTTACCTCCAGATCCCAGTTCCACTAGGAGCAAGGTGTTATCTTTCCACCCTGGGGGACCCTGGTTTGTATTCCTGATTTCTACTCCAAATCCTAAGAAAATGGGATTTTTTAGGGATGCATCTTCCTTTTTCTCCTGCTATTTTTACCTGCAGCTTTTTCCACTTTGGGATGTTTGGAGCAGCTCCTGGGGCTGAGAGAAAGGAGCCACTCCAGCTTTGCTGGTGAATTCATGATTTTGGTCTGAATAACTCAAACCTCCCAGAAATGGGATGCTGCTCCTGCGAGGTCACAGGGATGCCCCTCCTGGGGTGTCCCACCCCGTTTTTGGGGTGCAGACTCCAATTCCCAGCATCCCCTGGGTGCCACACCTTGTTTTTGGGGTGCAGACTCCAATTCCCAGCATCCCCTGGGTGCCACACCCGGTTTTTGGGGTGCGGACTCCAGTTCCCAGCATCCTCTGGATGTCACACCCTGTTTGGAGGTGCAGACTCCAATTCCTGGCATTCTTGGGGTGCCACACTTCTTTTGGGGGTATGGACTCCAATTCCCGGCATCCCCCGGGATGTCACACCCGGTGTTGGGGTGCGGACTCCAATTCCCGGCATCCCCCGGGGTGTCACACCCTGTTTTGGGGTGCGGACTCCAATTCCCGGCATCCCCCGCCGTTCCGCCCCCGCCTCTTCCGGCGGCGCGCGGGGCCGCGCCATGAGCTCAGGTCAGGAGCCGGGACCGGGATTGGGATCGGGATCCAGGAATGGGATCGGGAATGGGATGAGGGGTCGGGATCAGGGACCGGGAGCCCCCGAGTGCCCGGAGCCCCCCGGAGCGCCGCCGGGGCCGCTCCAGCCCAGCGCGGGGGGCGGGACCGGTGCGGCTCCAGTGCCATTTATCCCCATTTATTGCCATGTATTCCCATTTTTTCCTGTTTATTCCCATGTATTCCCATTTATTCCCTTTTTTTTTTTTTTTTGCTTTGTTATTTTGCCTTTCTTCTAAAATTTTGTTTTTTTGATTTACCTTATTATGCTTTGTTTATTTTTTAAATTTTGCTTTATTCTGTTGCCTTTTTGTAAAAATGTTGTATTTTTATTTTGCTTTAATTCTCTATTATTCCGCTTTATTTTACTTCATTTCATTTTATTTTGCTTTTTTGCTTCCTTGTTTTGCTTTCATTTGTGGCTTGGTTTTTTACTTTCAGTTTTTTATTTTACATTTGGCATTATTTTGCTGTAGTTTTGTTTCCTAACTTTGTTTTTCTGCTTTTTAATTGTGCTTTATTTTGCTTTTCCCCTTTGCATTGTTAGTTTTTTCACTTCATTTCTCTTTAGTATTTTCCTTTATTTTATTTTTTCGTTTTCATTTTTCTCCTTTTTTTACTCCAATTCATTTTGGTTTTTATCTTTTGCTTTATTTCACTTTTTAAATTCCATTTCTCTTTTATTTCACTTTATTTTGCTCTTTTATTTTGTTCCGTTTCTCTTTTATTTCGCTTTATTGGACTTCACTTCCCTTTTTTATTTTGCTCCACTTCCCTTTTTATTTCACTTTACTTCCCTGTTTTATTTCGCTTTATTTCCCATTTTTATCCCACTTTTTTTCCCGGCACCTCCTGGCTCTGCATCCCTCGGGAATTCCAGCCCTGGGAGCGCAGCCGTGGATCCGAGGGGAAGGAATTGTGGGAAGGGCTGCGGGGTGCTCCAAACCCCCCTAACCCCAAACTCTCCAATCCCCAAAACCCCCTAACCCCAAACTCTCCAAACTGCAAGCCCCCATAACCCTCCACATCTTCCAAACCCCAAAACTCTCCAAACCCCAAACTCCCAAACCCCTCAAACCCTCCACATCCCAAACCCCTCAAACCCCAAACAGTCCAAACCCCAAAACCCCCAACCCCTAACCCCCCAAAATCCTCCAAACCCCAAACTCCAAACCCCAATCATCCAAATCCTTCAAACCCCAAACTCCCGAAACCCTCTAAAACCCAAACCTCTCAAACCCCAAGCTGTCCAAACCCGAAAATACCCAAACCCTCCAAACCCCCCCAAAGCCTCCAAACCTCCCAAACGCCAAACTGTCCAAACCCCATCCAAACCATCCAGATCCTCTAAACTTCAAAACTCTCAAAGCCCAGACTCCAAACCCCTCAAACCCCAAACCATCCAAATCCTTCAAACTCCAAACCCCGCTGTGGATCCCCTCGGCCTTGCCACAGCCGCTTCCCGCGGGTGGATCCCACCCAGAATTCGGGAATGCTCCCGTCCCTCTCCCGTGGGGATCGTGGAGAACGGGGTGGGGTTTGGGGTCAGAAGGACCTGTCCACCCCTCAGATCCCATCCCGGAGCGATCCCAGGGTTTTGTTCATGGATGAACACAGAACGTGGTGCAGGGTGGGAAAAGGGCACCCGGGGTTCTGGATCCTTCCAGGGCTCCCAGCCGGGATTCCCGTTCCTAGGAATGCGGGAGCGGCGCTGCCGAGCGATCTTCGCCCCTTTCCTGCAGGGACTTTCATCCAGGCAGAGCAGCAGGGCAGGGAAGGGCAGGGGGGACATCCCTGGGTGCTCTGGGAGTTCCATCCCTGTGGTGATCCCACCCAGATCCCCTGGATCCCCTGGGATCCCCCTCGCCAATCCCAATCCTGATCCGCAGCCGAGCAGCGCTCGAGGGTCAAAGCTCCCCATTTTTTCCCTGAGTTCGTAATTTAAGGATTGCTGGAGATGTTCCCCCCTGGTTCCTCACTTCCCATCAGGAATGCCAGGAGCACAGCCCCTCTTCCTAAGGGAGGGAGGAGCCCTCATTTACCTGGAATTGGGGGAAATGTGTGTTGGGGTGTGAACCCCCTGTTTTCCAGCTCACACCGCAGTGTTCCCCAAGCTGGGATATTCCTGACACTTCCCTCCAGACTGGCAGCTGGGTTTGGGTGCCAGGGAACATCCCCCTGTGCCAGAAGGGTTGGAATGCCGGGATCTCGGCTGGCATCACCAGCACATGGCACAGCCCCGCTCCTCACAGAGGAACTCTCCAAAAACCCAAATCACAACCAGTGCAGGTCTACGGGGCTGCTGGGAATTCCCAGGAGTTTGTTCCTCAGCTGTCTCAAGGGTTTGATGCTCGAGCGTGGATTTCCCAGCACTGGGGAGTCCCAATCCTGGTTTTCCACGTCGCCACCTTGGATCAGGCCTGTCTCAGCCTTTGTTCCTCCAGCCTTGGGCCGTTTTTCTGGGAGGACCGACCGCCTGGTCAGATGAGTTTGCTCAGGAAGCTCAGGATTGGTCTGTGGAATCCATGGGAAGGGCAGAGCGTCCCTGTCCAGCTGGGATTTCTGTGTGGGATCCATGGGAAGGGCAGAGCATCCCTGTCCAGCTGGGATTTCTGTGTGGGATCCATGGGAAGAGCAGAGCATCCCTGTCCAGCTGGGATCAGTGTGTGGGTTCATCCATGGGAAGGGCAGCATGTCCCTGTCTGGCTGGGATGTGTTCCTCTGGGATCCATGGGAAGGGCAGGAGAATCACCAGGATCTCAGCCTGACGCTGTGCTCGGCCGCAGGATCTCCCATCCTGGAGCCAAAGGCTCTGGAAGATCCTCGTGGGTTCAGTCTCACCTTCCATGATCCAAACACTTCCTCACATTGTCTCTCCTTCCCGGATTTTGCCTTATCCTGATTTTCCGTGTCCCCATCTCCCCGAGTTGGCCTTGCCAACCCCATCCCATCAGCCTCAGTGGTTGGAACGGAAACTTCCTTGGATGGAGCTTCCTGATCTTGTGTGCAGCTTCCAGCCGGTGTGGGTGGATGCATGGATGGATGCATGGATGGAGGCATGGATCCGTGGATGGATGGACAGACGGATGGTGCTGCCCAGGGACCATCCAGCAGGAACCATGGGAGCAGCAGGAGGTCTCCAGGCCCCCTTGAGGTTTGCTTGCTTCCCGAAAGGGGCTTGGGAAGGGCCAGGGCTGCCCAGGGAAGCTGATGGAGAAGTCTCTGGGAGCAGCATCCATCTGTTTTCCATGTGCACCCCTGCCATGGGAAGGGGCTGCCACTCGGATCCAAATCCTGGGACAAGGACCTGGCATTCCCAGCTGATCTCCCACCAGGTGTTGGATTCCAATCCCATCCCAGCTTCCAGCTCTGCACCTCGGAGTCCGAGGGTTCACCCCCCCCCCCCGCCAGGATGTGCAGTGGCTGTGAGAGCATCCAAAGCAGCCTCTTCCCAAATTTCCACCCGAGAGGACAGGGCAGGGCCTGGACTCGGAGCCAGGCAGCTGCAGGGAATTCCAGGTGGGATTTTGGCCGTGCACATCCATCATCAGTGCGGGATCTTGGCTCCCGTCTTCCCCGGACCAGCCGGGCCGGTGCATCCTGACCCCTCTCCGGAATTCCAGCCTCTCCTGGCCCGTATTCTCCTCCTAATCCGTGTTTTAGCGGCGGAGCGGGAAGCAGAGAGCAGAGCTCTGTGCAGGGCTCCGGGGAAATTCCCGGGATCCGGAGGCGGAGAAGGGACATCCAGGAGCCCCCGCGCCGTGTTTGCCGACGAGGAGTGGCCTCGGTGCCGGGACTGCAGCGGCTCCGCTCCGGATCTGCCCGGCCACGGCCGCGGGGACGCCGGGGATGGCGGCGCTGCTGGTCCCAGCCCGGCCGATCCCACCCTTCCCGACCCCATCCTGACCGATCCCACCTTTCCCGACCCCATCCTGACCGATTCCACCCTGACCGATCCCACCCTGACCGATCCCATCCTGATCGATCCCACCTTTCCCGACCCCATCCTGACCGATTCCATCCCGGCCGATCCCACCCCCACCGGGCGGCTCCGCTGGCGCTCCCGGCGGGATGAGGCGGGGTGAGTCTGTGCCGGGGCTTCTCCTCACCTGCAGAGTTTTGGGAACAGCCGGGATGGGAGCGGGAGGGGAGGAATTCCCCGGAACGGGGCTGGAATTCCCCGGAACGGGGCTGTGCGGAGCCGCTTGGTTCCTCCCAAGGATTTGTTGCTTTAGGATCGAGAAAAGCCGGGATAGTTCCATTCAGGAGAGGGGCAGGCCGGGCTTCCCATTGCCCAGAGGCTCGGGGAAGGGAACTGGGCTGGTTTCAGGTTGTTTGGATACTTTTCCACCTCCTGCAGATCGCGGGAAAAGCCCTTGTGCATGACCCTGCTGCCCCGTACTTTGTCCTGCCCTTGGGAAGGACAGCACTCCCAGTGTCCCTGCAGCTGGAATTCCAGCTTTTTGCAGAATTTGAGGCTGGCACTGGGGACAGCTGACCCCTCCCTTCCTTTTCTTGGCTCCTCTGTTTTACTAAACCGTCCCTCAGGCTCATCCCCCAATTCCTCCCCTCTAAATTTATCTTGTGGAGCAACACCGGCTGCAGGAGCTGGAGATGGATCGCCCTCCCCACCGGGATCACCAAAACCAGGGAATGGTTTTAATGAATGGCTTTTATTCCCTGCAGAGGAGCTTTGGGGTGGACAGCGAGCAGCAGGAATCCAGCCGGGGCGGTTTTTCCAGTGTAAATCCTTGAGCTGGTCTCGGTGCCCTCCTGGAAACCCAACCCCAGCCCAGGCAGGAAATATCCACGTGTTCCAGGAGTAGGAACAGCTCCCAGCTCCGTGCTTGTGCCTGTGCCTGTGCCACGTGTTGCCTCCCCACTGCTGCTCTGAGATCCCAGCCTTGGGAATGCCGTGATCATAATCCATCCTGGATTTAGGGAATGAGCAGGCTCAGTGACTCCTGATCCATCCTGGATTTAGGGAATGAACAGGCTCAGTGACTCGTGATCCATCCTGGATTTAGGGAATGAACAGGCTTGGTGACTCATAATCCATCCTGGATTTAGGGAATGAGCAGGTTCATGAATGGCTTTTATTCCCTGCAGAGGAGCTTTGGGGTGGACAGCGAGCAGCAGGAATCCAGCCGGGGCGGTTTTTCCAGTGTAAATCCTTGAGCTGGTCTCGGTGCCCTCCTGGAAACCCAACCCCAGCCCAGGCAGGAAATATCCACGTGTTCCAGGAGTAGGAACAGCTCCCAGCTCCGTGCTTGTGCCTGTGCCTGTGCCACGTGTTGCCTCCCCACTGCTGCTCTGAGATCCCAGCCTTGGGAATGCCGTGATCATAATCCATCCTGGATTTAGGGAATGAGCAGGCTCAGTGACTCCTGATCCATCCTGGATTTAGGGAATGAACAGGCTCAGTGACTCGTGATCCATCCTGGATTTAGGGAATGAGCAGGTTCAACTTCAGGCACGGAGGGTGATGGTTGAGATCCCACCTAGGGAGATCCCAGGGATGATTCCTGATCCCAATTTTCTAGGCTGGGCTTTGGGGTGCAGCGGAGCCCAACGGGAATCAGAGCATGGTTGAAACTGGGAAATGTCAATTTTTTGGCAGCCAGGAGCAAACCCAAGGAGCAAACAAGGAGCAAACGAGCTGGAAAAGTGGCAGGGAGAGCTGGCCAGGCTCCGGCCAACCCTGCTCCCTTCCCGTGCCCGCTGGGCTCCTGGGATAACGCCAGAAATCCCGGGGCTGCTCTGGCATCGTCCCCGTGACCGTCACGTGCCCGGGAGGATGAGGGGGTAGCGATCCTGGCTGGATGGGCCAGGAGCCACCACCTCCTCCCGGGGCTGGCATCGCCGGGAGCCCGGCCCCGGGGCTCTCCAGCCCCTGTGCTGACCCTTCTCCGTGTTTCTGGTGGATTTGCAGACAGCAGCCGGCTGCTGGGGGCCCGGCGCCCGGGCTACGGGACACTGCAGCCGGACACAGACCCGGCCCACATGGTAGGTCTGGCCTGGGGGGTCTCCCACACCCATCCCAGGGCTTCCCACACCCCCAGGTGCTGCTTTTCCAGCCCCTTGATTTTCCCTATCTGGGGCTCGGTCATGCCGGGATTTTGGGAGTTCGGGGTTTAATGGTTGGCAATCGATTTTAGCTGATTTTATGTCTGAGCAGCCAGGTGCAGGTGATTGATTCCTGGTGATTGATCCCCAGTGATTGATTCCCAGTGATTCCTGGTGATTGATCCCCAGTGATCCCCAGTGATTGATTCCCAGTGATTCCCAGTGGTTCCCAGTGATCCCCAGTGGTCCCCTCTCCCGCAGGAGGTGACGGGCTACCAGCGCAGGGCGTGGCGGGTGCTGCTGTGCCACGCGGGCTCCGTGCTGAGCGCGGGGCTGCTCCTGCTGCTCTTCCACTGGAAGCCCAGCCTGGAGGTGCAGGCCAAGTGCCAGCCCTGTGCCCTGGGCCAGGCCGACTGGCTCATCATCAGGGTGAGTCCCACGGGAGCAAGTCTGGCGTGGGGTTCTGGGAGTCTGGATTGGATTCTCTGGGTCTGGGGTGGGGCTCTGTGGGTCTGGGTGGGATTCTGTGGATTAGGAGTTGGATTCTGTGGAACTGGGGGTGGATTCTGTGGATCCAGGGTTGGATTGTGTGGATTGGGAATTGGATTCTGTGGATCCAGGGTTGGGCTCTGTGGATCCAGAGTTGGATTCTGTTGGATCTGGGGTTGGATTCTCTGGATCTGGGATTAGATTCTGTGAGTCTGGGGTTAATTTTGTGGATCCAGGCCTGGGCTCTGGGGATCCAGGGTTGGATTCTGTGGATCCAGGCTTGGCGTGTGTGGATCTGGGGTTGGATTCTGTGGATTGGGAGTTGGATTCTGTTGGATCCAGGGTTGGATTCTGTGGACTGGGAGTTAGATTCTGTGGATCCGGGATCGGGCTCTTCCCCAGGTTCCCAACAGGACCCTGTGAATATTCTCTCTCCTTGTCCTCCTTCCTGTGTCAGACATGTCCTTTCCTCAAGCACCAGATTATTCCAGAAATTTATTACCATTATTATTATCATTCCTAGAATTGTCCCATTCCAGGAATCATTGTTATTCCTAAAATAACTCCACGTTTCCCCCTTCCATCCCAGCCTCCCTGGCTTGGAATTTCTCTTCTTTGTCCCCAAACCTCATCCCCCACCCGGGATGGGTGGCCAGGGCCTTCCTGGGTTCTGGAAGGAGCTGGGAACTCTCCAGGCATTCCCAGTCCCCCATCCCTGTGTTTCAGGACCGTTTTGGACAGTGCTTCACCACCAAGGTGCTGACGGAGCCGCTGGGCGAGGCCAGGTGAGCCAGGCTCTGTCCCTGCGGGGTGCGGAGCCACCGCTGGCTCTGGGGAGGGTGACTGAGCCTGGATGTCCCCGAGGGAGGATGGCAGGCCATGGCTGATCCCTGATGTCCCTGAGGGAGGGGGGCAGGCCATGGCTGATCCCCGATGTCCCTGAGGGAGGGTGGCAGGCCATGGCTGATCCCCGATGTCCCTGAGGCAGGCCATGGCTGAGCCCTGATGTCCCTGAGGGAGGGTGGCAGGCCATGGCTGAGCCCTGATGTCCCTGAGGGAGGGTGGCAGGCCATGGCTGAGCCCTGATGTCCCTGAGGGAGGGTGGCAGGCCATGGCTGAGCCCTGATGTCCCTGAGGGAGGGTGGCAGGCCATGGCTGAGCCCTGATGTCCCTGAGGGAGGGTGGCAGGCCATGGCTGAGCCCTGATGTCCCTGAGGGAGGGTGGCAGGCCATGGCTGAGCCCTGATGTCCCTGAGGGAGGGTGGCAGGCCATGGCTGAGCCCTGATGTCCCTGAGGGAGGGTGGCAGGCCATGGCTGAGCCCTGATGTCCCTGAGGGAGGGTGGCAGGCCATGGCTGAGCCCTGATGTCCCTGAGGGAGGGTGGCAGGCCATGGCTGAGCCCTGATGTCCCTGAGGGAGGGTGGCAGGCCATGGCTGAGCCCTGATGTCCCTGAGGGAGGGTGGCAGGCCATGGCTGAGCCCTGATGTCCCTGAGGGAGGGTGGCAGGCCATGGCTGAGCCCTGATGTCCCTGAGGGAGGGTGGCAGGCCATGGCTGAGCCCTGATGTCCCTGAGGGAGGGTGGCAGGCCATGGCTGAGCCCTGATGTCCCTGAGGGAGGGTGGCAGGCCATGGCTGAGCCCTGATGTCCCTGAGGGAGGGTGGCAGGCCATGGCTGAGCCCTGATGTCCCTGAGGGAGGGTGGCAGGCCATGGCTGAGCCCTGATGTCCCTGAGGGAGGGTGGCAGGCCATGGCTGAGCCCTGATGTCCCTGAGGGAGGGTGGCAGGCCATGGCTGAGCCCTGATGTCCCTGAGGGAGGGTGGCAGGCCATGGCTGAGCCCTGATGTCCCTGAGGGAGGGTGGCAGGCCATGGCTGAGCCCTGATGTCCCTGAGGGAGGGTGGCAGGCCATGGCTGAGCCCTGATGTCCCTGAGGGAGGGTGGCAGGCCATGGCTGAGCCCTGATGTCCCTGAGGGAGGGTGGCAGGCCATGGCTGAGCCCTGATGTCCCTGAGGGAGGGTGGCAGGCCATGGCTGAGCCCTGATGTCCCTGAGGGAGGGTGGCAGGCCATGGCTGAGCCCTGATGTCCCTGAGGGAGGGTGGCAGGCCATGGCTGAGCCCTGATGTCCCTGAGGGAGGGTGGCAGGCCATGGCTGAGCCCTGATGTCCCTGAGGGAGGGTGGCAGGCCATGGCTGAGCCCTGATGTCCCTGAGGGAGGGTGGCAGGCCATGGCTGAGCCCTGATGTCCCTGAGGGAGGGTGGCAGGCCATGGCTGAGCCCTGATGTCCCTGAGGGAGGGTGGCAGGCCATGGCTGATCGCCGATGTCCCTGAGGGAGGGTGGCAGGCCATGGCTGAGCGCCGATGTCCCTGAGGGAGGGTGGCAGGCCATGGCTGATCCCCGATGTCCCTGAGGGAGGGTGGCAGGCCATGGCTGATCGCCGATGTCCCTGAGGGAGGGTGGCAGGCCATGGCTGATCGCCGATGTCCCTGAGGGAGGGTGGCAGGCCATGGCTGAGCCCCGTTCCCCCAGCAGCCTGGAGCAGCACCCCGGGGCCCAGGCGGAGCGCAGGAGCAGCGTGGCCGTGGCGGTGCCGGACGAGGAGGAGAGCCGTGACACCGTGCGGCTGCACGACAAGGACGAGGTGGCACCGGGACCTTCCCCACCCCCAAGCCCTCTCCCTGTCCCTGGACACCCCACTTACGCCTCGTTTTCCCGTCCCTGTCCAGCAGAAGAACCTCCTGAGGTATTACCTGTTCCAGGGAATGCGCTACGTGTGGCTGGAGCGGCGGCAGGCCTTCTGCAGAGTCAGGTACTCCCAGAGACCGGCATTCCTGCTCCCTCAGGATCCTCCTGGATCCTCCTGGATCCTCCTGAATCCCGGCATTCCTGCTCCCTCAGGATCCTCCTGGATCCTCCTGGATCCCAGCATTCCCAGCTCCCTCAGGATCCTCCTGGATCCTGGCATTCCCAGCACCTCCCGTCCCTTCGTGCCTTATCAGGGCTCCCTAAAAACAGAGGCCAGGCTAAATTAAGGGAATAAAATCATTTGTGTTTTTTGGAGGCCTTCAGGTACATTCCCTGAGACAAAACCCTCCCTCAGGGGCTGCACCCAAAAATGGAGCATGGCTCACAGGTTTTCACACTTTTATAACTTTGGTCCATTTGCATACTGGGGGTTAATCCTCCATTACAGCTTCAGGTAATGAAGTCATGTACCCCAAGTTTGCCCCCCCAGCTCCCTTTTGTTTAATCTCTCGGGGCCTGAGGCAGTGAGTGTCCTTGATTGCCAGGCCTGGAGAGGAATTGCTGTGTCTGCCCAAAACGGGAGAACAGCAGCTGCCACTGCGTGTGGAGTTCAGAGTTCTACACTAAAGAACAGAAGGATCACACATACATTGAAAATATAAAAGCTCAAACCCTGAGGCATCACCCTCAGCGCTTCTGGGCCTCGGAAGCCATCCCAGGTGCCCTCGGGGTGTTCCCGGGCACAGGGAACCGGCCGGGATGGTTGGCAGGGCCGGACGCTCCCGGCTCTCAGACTGTGCCCCTTTTGTTGCCTTCCCTTGGCAGCCGTGGGCCGCAGAGAGGCCAAGGAACAGGGCACTCTCCCTTTCCAAAGGGTGGGTTTGTCCCGAGCCCTTGGCCGTGCAGTTTGTTCCACCCTTCCCGCTGGGTCTGACTCTCTCCCTGTTTTTCTTTGCTGCCCAGCGTCCTGGACGAGGGCTGGACCTGCGCAGAGCTGCACCTGTGCCGGGCCGGGCTGGACCAGCAGGAGCACGGCGCCAGGTGGGGGCTGGCAGCCTCCTGGGGCTGTTCCAGGGAGCAGGAAATCCCGGAGCCTCAGACCCCAAACTGCCGGGCGGGATGGAATTCCTGGGATTGGCTTCTCCGTATAACCCGGCTCCTCGTGGGGGTCTGGGCAGCATGCGGGGCCCTAGGGCTGGAAATGCAGCTTTTCCCAAGGATCAAACTCCTTCCCTCTTTTCCCAGGGTGAAATTCCTTCCCTCTCTTTTCCCATGGTTAAAACTCCTTCCCTCTCCTTCCCAAGGGTAACATTCCCTCGCTGTCCTTCCCCCCCTCAGGAGGAAGATCTATGGCCCCAACCTCATCGAGGTGCCCGTCAAGTCCTACGCCAGGCTCCTGGTGGAGGAGGTGGGTTCCAGGCTGGGCTTCCCAAGGGGATTTTCCCGGGACAGATCCTTCCTCTGCTCCCTGTCCCTCTCTGGAAGTGCTTCCCAGCGCTTGGGAAGGAAGGAGAGGATGTGGGGGGGAAGATAGAGCTGTGGAGGGGACCCTTCCTGGCCCTCTGGGCTCAGACAGGAGCAGCCCCCAGGGGTTGTGGAGGTGGCTGAGCATCCTTGGGAGCAGCATCCCCAGGGAATTCCAGGGGGAATGGAGGGTTTGGGGGATGCCAGCCCCAGGGAAGGGCCTAGGGAAGGGCTGGATTCTCCTCTGCATCCAGGAGCCTGGAAGGCTCACGATGGGCTGGAGGAAGCTTTTCTTCCTCCAAGGAGCCTGGAGAAATTTCTCCCACCTGGAAATCCCATACTGGGATGGAGGAAGCTCTGCCCATTTCCAGGAGCCTGGAAATTGCATGATGGGATGGAGAAAGCTCTCCCCACCTCCAGGAGCCTGGAGATTCCATACTGGGCAGGAGGAAGCTCTCCTCATTTCCAGGAACCTGGAAATCTCACGATGGGCTGGGGGAGCTTCTCCCACCCCAAGGAGGTCTCCCAGTGAGCTCCCAGACCTGTTTTTTCTCCTTGTTGCAGGTGCTCAACCCCTTCTACCTGTTCCAAGTGCTCAGCATGGTGCTGTGGGTGTGCGATGCCTATTACTACTACGCCGCCTGCATCTTCCTCATCTCCACCTTCTCGCTGGGGCTGTCGCTCTACGAGACGCGCAGGGTGGGTGGGGGCAGCTCCTCTGGGGCCACAGCCCCGCGGAACAGCCCCACTCCGGGCTCTCCCTGTCCTCTGTCCCTGCTTCCGAGCCCCCCAGGCTGTTTTTAGGGATGGTTTCCCGTGTTTTGGGTGAATTCTGACCTCTGCCTCCCTCCCAGCAAAGCACCACGCTGCGGAATATGGCCAGGATGTCCATGGGGGTCCAGGTCCGCCGGCCTGGAGGAGGTGAGAGGAAGGATTTTTGGGATGGTGGTTGGGATGATGTATCCCTTTGGGATCCTGGTTCTGCACCAAAATGGTATTGGGATAGGTGGGAATGATGTTGGGACACACCGGAATTATTGTACATGGAAATAATGTTATGAGACACCAGAGTAATGTTGGGATGTGTGGGAATAGTGTTGGGATACACAGGAATAATGTTGGGGTACATGGGAATAGTGTTGGGATACATGGGAATAATGTTGGGATACACAGGAATAATGTTGGGGTACATGGGAATAACAATATGATATATGGGAATAATGTTATATACATGGGAATAATGTTATGAAACACCAGAGTAATATTGGGATGTGTGGAAATAGTGTTGGGATACACAAGAATAATGTTGAGATATGTGGGAATAATGTTGTGATACGTGGGAATAATATTGGGATACACAGGAATAACCTTATGATATATGGGAATAATCTTATTATGCATGGGAATTATGTTATGAGACACCAGAATAATCTTGGGATGTGTGGGAATATTGTTGGGATACATGGGAATAACAATATATGGGAATAATGTTATAAGACAGGAATGATGTTGGGATACATGGGAATAACAATATGATGTATGGAAATAACGTTATTATACATGGGAATAATGTTGGGATACATGGGAATAATCTTATGAGGCACAGGAATAACTTTGGGGTCCAATTAGTAAAAGATGCCTCTGCCCAAATGAAGGTGCAGACAAGACCATAGTCCAAAGCCAATATGGATTTAATTTAACAGGGGATTTCAGGGAAAGAGAGAGAGACTTTGATTACAAGGATAATCCCCCCATGAATCCCTGCCCTGTCCCACCAGCCCTTTTCTTCCTGTTCTTCAGAGGTTCCATTTGTCACACAGCCCAAATCTTGGCTGTCCACGGGTGTTTGTGCCATTCCCTGTGATTGGGGTGGCTGGGAATTCTGGTCTGGATCAGCTCTCCCCACACCTGGATCTCAATTTCCCATCTCCAGGGAATTAACCCCTTCCTGTTTGCTGCCTTATCCCACGGGAATTCCTTCCCTGGTGCCTGGAAATGAGTGACCCCCATTCCCCAATCCCTGAGGGGGTTCTCCAGGTGTCTGGAGATGAGTGTCCCAGTCCCCAGTCTCTGAGGGGGTTCTCCAGGTGTTTGGAGATGAGTGCCCCAATCTCTGAGGGGGTTCTCCAGGTGTCTGTAGATGAGTGTGACGCCATTCCCCAATCCCTGAGGAGGTTCTCCAGGTGTCTGGAAATGAGTGCCCTGTTCCCCAAGCCCTAAGTGGGGGTTGATTTAATTTAACAGGGGATTTCAGGGAAAGAGAGAGAGACTTTGATTACAAGGATAATCCCCCCATGAATCCCTGCCCTGTCCCACCAGCCCTTTTCTTCCTGTTCTTCAGAGGTTCCATTTGTCACACAGCCCAAATCTTGGCTGTCCACGGGTGTTTGTGCCATTCCCTGTGATTGGGGTGGCTGGGAATTCTGGTCTGGATCAGCTCTCCCCACACCTGGATCTCAATTTCCCATCTCCAGGGAATTAACCCCTTCCTGTTTGCTGCCTTATCCCACGGGAATTCCTTCCCTGGTGCCTGGAAATGAGTGACCCCCATTCCCCAATCCCTGAGGGGGTTCTCCAGGTGTCTGGAGATGAGTGTCCCAGTCCCCAGTCTCTGAGGGGGTTCTCCAGGTGTTTGGAGATGAGTGCCCCCATTCTCCAATCCCTGAGGGGGTTTTCCAGGTTTCTGGAGATGAGTGCCCCAATCTCTGAGGGGGTTCTCCAGGTTTCTGGAGATGAGTGCCCCATTCCCCAATCCCTGAGCGGGTTCTCCAGGTGTCTGGAGATCAGCTCCCCCGTTCCCCAGGCCCTGAGCAGGGTTGTTTTCCAGAGGAGCTGGTGGTCAGCTCAGCAGAGCTGGTGCCTGGGGACTGCATCCGGCTGCCGGCGGCCGGGGCGCTGCTGCCGTGCGATGCTGCGCTGCTGACCGGCGAGTGCATGGTCAACGAGAGCCTGCTGACCGGTGAGAGCCCTTCCCTGCACGCTGGGGTGGCTGCCTAGAGCAGAGGCCAGACAGGGGTTAAGAGGACAAAGTGGGTATTTATTGAAGGCCTTCCATGGATACACCTTGGGCAGTCAGAAGCCTCCGAGGCTACACCCAAAATGGAAAATGGGCACGAGTTTTTCAGACAATTATAAATTTTTAACCCTATTTACATATCAGGGGTTAATGCTCCAATTACAGCTTCAGGTAATGAAATAATTTACTCCAAGTTTGCTGGCCCCCAACTCATTTTGTTTATACTTTTTGAGGCCTGAGGCTGGAGGGTGTCCTTGAGTTCCAGAGGAATTGTTGTGTCTGACCAGAACGGGAGAGCAGCAGCTGACAGAACAGGCTGTGTGGAGTTTAGAGTTAGGCACTAATGCAGCACAGGATCTGAAAACTACAACAGCTAAAATCCTAAGGCATCACATTCCCATGGGATTCAGTCAGAGCCACCTTCCCACCCCGGCCTGCTGGCCCCTGACCCCCCTGGGGTGACAATCCCCCCCTGGAATGTTCTGGGCAGGGGAGAGCGTGCCGGTGATGAAGACGCCGCTGCCGGCGGGCGGAGCCATGTACTGCCCCGAGGAGCACCGGCGGCACACGCTGTTCTGCGGGACACAGGTCATCCAGGCCAAGGCCTACGTGGGCGGGGAGGTGCTGGCCGTGGTCACCCGCACAGGTGAGGGCGTGGGGGGATAATCCAGGATGAGGCCCCGGATGAATCCGTGCCCTTGGGAGCAGTTCCATTGTGACCTCCTGCCTGTCCCACAGGGTTCTGCACGGCCAAGGGGGACCTCATCAGCTCCATCCTCTACCCCAAACCCGTGAGCTTCAAGTTCTACAAGGACGCCGTGAAGTTTGTGCTGTTCCTCGCCATCCTGGGTAGGTCTGGGTGCAGAGACGCATCCTGGAGCAGCCAGATTCCTTGGAATGGAATTCCATTCCAGCTCCCTGCTGTGCCCTGCTTTGTAACTGAGCCCCTTCTCCCCCTGCACAGCTCTCATCGGCACCTTGTACAGCATCCTCATCCTGGTTAGGAACCAGGTAGGGCTGGTGGAGCAAGCGGGAGAGCCCGCAGGGATCCATCCGGGGAGGGATGCCCACCCCTGTTCCTCCTCCCCTCCCAGGTCCCCGTGGGACAAATCATCATCCGTGCCCTGGACCTGGTCACCGTCATCGTGCCGCCAGCGCTGCCGGCCGCCATGACCGTGGGCACCATCTATGCCCAGAACCGGCTGAAAAAACAGGGAATCTTCTGCATCAGCCCCCCGCGGATCAACCTGTGCGGGAAGATCCGCCTGGTGTGCTTTGACAAGGTGAGGCGGGCCGGGCCGGCGGGCTGGGCGGGCGCCGGGGCTCCCCGGACCCACCGCGCTGTGCCCGCAGACCGGGACGCTGACCCAGGAGGGGCTGGACGTGTGGGGCGTGGTGCCCCTGGAGCAGCAGCGCTTCCTGCCCATCGTGCACGAGCCCCGCTGCCTGCCCGCCGGCGCCCTGCTCTATGCCCTGGCCACCTGCCACGCGGTGTCACCGCTGCGGGGACAGCTCGTCGGGGACCCCGTGGACATCAAAATGCTGGAATCCACCGGCTGGGTGAGGCGGGAGCTGCGGGGCTGGAGAGGGAGGCGTTGGGAATATCGGCGGTTCTGGACCCTCTGTGGGTGGAGGAGCTCAGCAGGGTTTTGCCCTCTTGGTTTCAGCGCCTGGAGATGATGGAGGAGGAGGAGGAAGGGGAGCTCCCAGCGTTCCAGCAGTTCGAGATGAAGGTCTTGGCCATGGTGAAACCTCCGCCAGAAGAGGAGCAGCCTTGGGATAGGGTAACCCCATGGAACAGCTCCCCACCCTCCTGCCTCCTGGAGGAATTCCTGCCCAGCCCTGATCTCACCTGCTTTCCACAGAGGCACCAGGCCCCCCTGGGGATCCTGCGGCGTTTCCCGTTCTCGTCCTCCCTCCAGAGGATGAGCGTCCTGGTCAAGCTCCCCGGGGAGGCCTCGGCCCACGCCTACGTCAAGGGCGCCCCGGAGATGGTGGCCAGTCTGTGCAGGAGGGAAACTGGTTGGTACTGGGAGGTGGGCTCACCCCCAGTCCCACTGGCTGCATCCCTGAGGCTCATCCCCCAGGGAATTATCCTTAGGAATGCTGTGGGGCAGCTCTCAAAGGCTTTGGGGTAGCTCCAGCCACGGGAGGGAAAGGAAACAGGAGCCAGAAGAAGGGGAATGGTGCTGGGTGCTTCCTCCAGCCTATGCTGGCATCTCCAGGCTCCTTGGGGTGGGGAGAGCTTCCCCCAGCCCAGTATGGAATGTCCAGGCTCCTTGGGGCTGGGGGCATCCCCTAACGCATGCTGGGATCTCCAGGCTGTTGGGGTGGGGAGAACTTCCTCCAGCCCCAGTATGGGATCTCCAGGCTCCCTGAGGAGAGCTCTCATGAGCACCCAAACCCCAGAGCTCTGTGTCCCCTCCCAGAGCCGGGGTTCCCTCAGGAGCTGTTCTGGCCTCGCTTTTCCAGTGCCCCCGGATTTCTCCCAGGTGCTCCGGCACTACACCACCGACGGGTTCCGGGTCCTGGCTCTGGCCTGCAAAGCCCTGGGCACAGTGGCCACCTTCGAGGAGGCCCTGCAGCTCCCCAGGTTGGTGCCAGCGCTCCCTCTCTCCACCTCCTCACTCGCTTCTGCGTTTTCCAGGATGCCCTGCAGGGAATTCATCCCTTATCCGTATGGAGGGAATCCCTGGCTGGTTCCCAGAGGGATTTTAACTGCTCACACCCCTTGATCCTCTGTGCTGGTTTTGGAGGTGATGAAAGGCTCCTTGTCTCCCACCAGGGACTCTGTGGAGAACAGCCTGAACTTCCTGGGGTTCCTGGTCATGAAGAACGTCCTGAAGCCGGAGTCTGCCCCGGTGATCCAGCTGCTGAGGAGCGCCAACATCCGCCCCGTCATGGTGACAGGTGACCCTGGGAGGGACCAGCACACGGGGCTCAGGGAGGGACAGCACACAGACAGTCCTGGAGGCATGCAGGACGCACATACAGTTCTGGACAGTGTGCAGGGGGAAAGGGCTTTCCCACCAGAAGCCCCAGCCCAGGAACCCCAGCCCAGGAATCCCACCTCAGGACCCCCACCAGGAACCCCACCCCAGGAGTCCTGCTCTGGGAATCCCACCAGGAACCCCACCAGGGATCCCACCAGGAACCCCAGCATGACCCCCAGCAGGAATCCATGCCTGAAGCAGCTGTGGGGGCACCAGGAGGACTCCTGGGTCCTGGCTCTGTGCATCCCTGCCCTCGGGATTCACAATCCACAGTGGGGCTCAGGGCGTGGACACATTTTGGGTGGAAGAACTCATTGTTCTGCTGTCCATCCCCTAAATATTGCTGTGTTTGAAATCCCAAATTCCTTCCCTAATGCAGGAGGTGCAGGGACACCTCTGGGTGTTTTCCAGGCAGGAGAACAGGAGTTGAACCCACATTTCTTTGGGGCAGGGCAGGCAGGAGGTTTTGGAGGAAAGAAGAGGGAAGCGAAGCCACCACATGGCTGCAGTGGCCAGGAGAGGGGACACAGCAGCTTGGAGCTGCTCCTCTTGGCCTGGACATCCCAAAACCTCCTTGCTGATGACCCACATGTCCCTGGCAGGGGACAACATGCTGACAGCCATGAACGTGGCACGGGGGTGCCGCATGGTGGAGCCCAGGGAGGGCGTGATCTTCGTCACGGCCTCGCCGCCCGGCCACAACAAACCCGCCGCCCTCAAGTTCGTCCTGGCCGAGCATTCCCAGGGCGAGGAGCAGCCCGAGGTGAGAGCCCAGGACACCTTTTGGGAGCCCAAACTGCCCAGGCACCCTGAAGGGTTTGGTTTTTCATGAAATCACAGAATTTCAGCATGGTTTGGGTTGGAGGGACCTTAGAGCTCATCCCATCCCATGGGCAGGGACACTTTCCACCCTCCCAAGGTGCTCTAAGCCCTGTCCAGCCTGGCCTTGGACACTTCCAGGGATCCAGGGGCAGCCACAGCTGCTCTGAGCACCCTGTGCCAGAGTCTCCCCACCCTCACATGGAGGAATTTCTTCCTAATATCTAAGAAATTGAGTTACTCAAATCTGGCTTTTTCTGCAGTCCTGGGAATCCCGAAATCCCAGAATGGTTTGGGTTGGGTTGGAAGGGACCTCAAAGCTCGTCCCGTTCCATGGGCAGGGACACCTTCCACTATCCCAGGGTGCTCCAGCCTGGCCCTGAGCCCTCCCAGGGATGGGAAAGGGTTTTCCAGCATCGTTATCCTTGGAGGCAGTTAAGGCTGTGATCCTGCTCCTCATAAAGCCATCCTTCAGGAGAGGTTCAGCTGCTCCTGCCTTTCCCTGGAGCACATCCAGGGATCCAGGCTGGAATGGCAGCTCCAAACACCTCCCCATGGATGCTGCCAGATCTGCTCCAGGCTTGGCTTGGATGCCTGGGTCAGCCCAGCCCTGCACCCCAACAGCCCCACTGGGAGCTGGGATTTTGGGAGCCATTCCTGCTGCTCCAGGCAGGTCCTGGCTCAGCCTGGGGGCCCCGCAGGGGTTGGGGCTGGAGCTGGAGCTGTTTCCTGGCAGGGCCTGCAGCAGCAGGACGGCTCCTCCCTCCCACCCCAGCACTGCCACTTCGCCCTCAACGGGAAATCCTTCCAGGTGGTCTGCGAGCACTTCTCCGAGCTGCTGCCCAGGGTGAGTCAGGCAGGGAGCCCCTGGGGGCCGTGGAGAACCGTCCAGTGCCACGGGGAACCTTGTTCACTGCTGGACATTCCCAGTTCCCTGATGGATATTCCCAGTGCCCAGCTGGGCATTCCCAGTTCCCTGATGGATATTCCCAGTGCTCAGCTGGACATTCCCAGTTCCCTAATGGATATTCCCAGTGCTCAGCTGGGCATTCCCAGTTCCCTGCCCCCCGGGAACGCTGACGGATCCTTCCGTTGGCAGATCCTGCTCCGGGCCACCGTGTTTGCCCGGATGCTGCCTGAGCAGAAGACCCAGCTGGTGTGCAGCCTGCAGGAGCTCAAGTAAGGCCCAGGGGATGGATCCCAGGGGATGGATCCTGGAATTATGGGGTGGACGGCGTTGGGAGGCCCCTCAAACATCACCTGGTGGCACCAATGCCATGGGCAGGGACACTTCCACCAGGTCCAGCCTGGAACAGGGCATCCATAGGTTCTCTGGGCTGAGCAAGGGCTTTTCCCATTCCCTGAGGAATGTGGGCTCCTTTTCCCTGTTCCCTAAGGAATGTGGGGACCCTTTCCTCATTCCCTGAGGAATGTGGGCTCCCTTTCCCGCAGCTACTGCGTGGGGATGTGCGGGGACGGTGCCAACGACTGCGGGGCGCTGCGGGCGGCCGACGTCGGCATCTCCCTGTCCGAGGCCGAGGCGTCGGTGGCCTCGCCCTTCACCTCCCGCGTGGCCACCATCGAGTGCGTGCCCAGGGTCATCCGGTGAGCGGGGGGAATCCTGGGAATGCGGGGGAATCCCGGGAATGCCGCAGATCCCTCCCGGGGAGGGGTGGCCGGTGGTGACGCCGTGTCCCCCCCCAGGGAGGGCCGGTGCTCCTTGGTCACCTCCTTCGGGGTCTTCAAGTACATGGCCCTGTACAGCCTGGTCCAGTTCGTGTCCGTGCTCCTGCTCTACACCGTGAGTCCCACCCCAAATCCCTGCTTTTCTCAGAATTCTTGGGGCACCGATGCCTTATGGGGCTACCCTAAAACATAGGCCAGACCAAATTAAGGGAATAAAACGTGGGTGTATTTACTGAAGGGCCTTCAGGTACATCTCAGGCAGACAAAGCCCCCCAGGGGCTGCACCCAAAAATGAACCACGGGTCACAGGCTTTCACACTTTTATAACTTTGGTCCTTTTGCATATATGGGGGGTTAATCCTCCAATTCCAGCTTCAGGTAATGAAGTCATTTACCCCAAGTTTGCTCCCCCTGCTCACTATTGTTCAGTCTTTCGAGGCCTGAGGCAGTGAGTGTCCTTGATTGCCAGGCCTGGAGAGGAATTGCTGTGTCTGCCCAAAACGGGAGAACAGCAGCTGCCACTGCGTGTGGAGTTCGGAGTTCTACACTAAAGAACTGCAGGGTTACAAATACATGGAAAATATAAAAGCTCAAATCCTGAGACATCAGCCCTGCTGGCTCTGAGCCTGTCCCTCCTCCGCAGATCAACACCAACCTGAGTGATTTCCAGTTCCTGTTCTTCGACCTGGTGATCACCACCACGGTGGCCGTGCTGATGGGGCGCACGGGGCCGGCGCCGGCGCTGGGCGTGCGGCGGCCGCAGGGAGCCCTGATCAGCGGGCTGGTGCTGGGCAGCCTCCTGCTGCAGACAGCCCTGCTCATCACCGTGCAGGTCCTCAGCTACTTCATCACCGTCTCACAGAGCTGGTGAGGGCCCCCACTCCGGGAATCGTGGGATTCAGTGTTGGAAAAGGTCATCGAGTCCAACTGTCAGCCCCTGTTTGCCACTAAGACCCAAGTGCCAGATCCACAGGGTTTTTGGACACTTCCAGGGGTGGTGATTCCACCCTCTCCTGGACAGGCTGTTCCAGTGCTTTGCAGCCCTTCCCATGAGGAAATCTTTCCCAATATCCCACCTGAACCTGCCTTGTCTTCCTGAGGGTTTGGTGATGGGGACAGCACTGAGGTTGTGTCAGAGCCCAGGGTTTGTCCTGGGATTTGGGATCTGGCAGCAGACAGGGAACCATGGAATGTCCTCGGCTGGAAGGGATCATCCAGTCAAACCCCTGGCCCTGCACACACCCCCCAACAATCCCAGCCTGTCCAGACACTCTCGGAGCTCTGGCAGCCCTGGCGCCGGGACCATTCCCTGGGGAGCCTGGGCAGTGCCCAGCACCCTCTGGGGAAGAGCCTTTCCTGACCTCCAACCCAAACCCCCCTGGCCCAGCTCTCATTCCCAAGGGATCTATCCCTGCTCCCAGAGCAGAGGTTGGAGCTGCCCCTGCTCTTCCCAGAGTTGTAACTGCTGGAGAACAAGGGGTGGTGTCCAGCCCCCCTTGGCCTCTCTGCTGACCCGTCTCCCGGCCCAGGTACGTCCCCCTGAACAGCACGGTGACAGCGCCCCAGAACCTGCCCAACTACGAGAACACCGTCCTGTTCTGTGTCACCGGCTTCCAGTACCTCATCCTGGCCGTGGCCATGTCCAAGGGCTACCCCTTCCGGGAGCCGCTCTACACCAACGGTGAGGACACGGGGACACCCATGGGACACACAGGGGGACACCCATGGGACACTCACAGGGGCACCCACAGGGACACCCATGGGACACTCACGGGATGTTGTGCATGGGGACACCCACGGGACACCATGGGACACTCACAGGGACACCAAGAGCCACTGGCCCTCCCTCCCCTGCCCCTCACCCCACCCCCTCTCGCCCCCAGTGCTCTTCCTGCTCGTCCTCATCCTGCTCTTCAGCCTGATGATCTGGCTGACCCTGTACCCGCTGGGCTTCCCCAAGTCCCTGCTGAAGCTCCAGTCCATCGAGGATTTCAGTTTCAAGCTGCTCCTCTTGGGCATTGCCGCCCTCAATTTCTTCACTGCCTTTGTGCTGGAGGTGGGTCAGGGGGGGCTTTGGGATGGGGCATCCCCCTGTAGTGTCCCCAGGTGGGCACAGGGCTCTCCTGTCCCTCCTCAACCCCGTTTCCCTCCTGCTCTGACCCCAGACCGCCTTGGATCACGGCTTGCTCAGCTGCTTCCGAAAGCTGCGTCGGAAAAAAGCCTCCAAGAAGCTTTTCAAGAGGCTGGAGAAGGAGCTGAGCCAGCAGCAGCCGGCCTGGCCACCCCTGGACCAGCCCCTCTTTGCCACACCCAGGATGTCCCTGGCCGTGAGATAGCAGTGCCAGCCGTGCCTCTGCCCCAGCCCTCAGACACTTCCTTAATTTATTTATCCCAGGAAAAGCAGGGATGTGGTGGGTGGGATCACTCAGATTGCAGATGGGAATCCCATGGCCACACTGATCCTGTGGACACACTGATCCCGTGGCCACAATGAGCCCATGCCCACACTGATTCCCTGGCCATATTGATCTCTGATCCCACAGCCACGCTGATCCCATGGCCATGGTGATTCCCTGGCCATGCTGATCCCATGGATATGCTGATCCCACAGCCATGGTGGTCACATGGCCACACTGATCCCATGGCCACGCTGATCCCACAGCCACACTGATCTCGTGGCCATGGTGATTCCCTGGCCACGCTGATCCCATGGCCACACTGATCCCGTGGCCATGGTGATCCCATGGCCACACTGATCCCATGGCCACGCTGACCCCATGGCCATTCTTATTCCATGGCCACACTGAGCCCGTGGCCACGCTGATCCCATGGCCACGCTGAGCCCATGGCCACATTGAGCCCATGGCCACGCTGATCCCATGGCCACGCTGATCCCGTGGCTACACTGATCCTGTGGCCGCAGCCCAGAGGAGCAGGAGGTGGAGGAGGAACGGGCGAGAAGATCCAGAGGAGGAGGATCCAGCATGGCTCTTCCTGTAGGATTCCCCCCACTCCCACACTGGCCACCATGGCCAGTTGGGCCTCTCGTGGCCTGCCCAGGCCACCAGGAAGGGGGTCCCTGGTGTCCCCAGCACCCCCAGCTGTGTCACTGTGAAGCCCCAGTCCCCTCTAGATGTGTAGGGAGTTTACAGTCCCCGTTCCCAGCTTGCCGAGGCTGCTGCTCCATCCCCAGCGCCTGGGCCCCTTCTCCGCTTGGAATGCTCGGGCAGAGCACCTCTGCTTGGGGATGGGACCTCTGTAGCATTACAGACCCCACAAATTCTCTATTTTTTAACTCTTCCCCGTCGGGAAGGCGATGGCGCCGCTCGCGGGCTCCGGACGGGGCTGTCACGGGTCTTGTCCAATAAATTAACACTTATTTTCTTGGCTGCTTGTCCGTGCTGCCCACTGGGGGTGGGTTCGGGATGGCACGGGTGAGTACCCATGGAGCAGGAGGAGGTTTCGAGGTCACCTCATTCCCAGGCAGGCTGGGAAATGCTCGATGCTCGAAAGCCGGGCCTGGAGCCAGGGATGACACCGCTGGGATTCCTGCAGCCCAAACTGGGCTGAACAACCTCTCTCCAGCTGGAATTTCCTAGAAAATAACAGTAATCGCTGGAAAAGCCCAGGTGTCCTGGCTGAGACTCTGAAACCTCGCTCCTTCCACCGAGGAAAAGCCGGGAGGCAGAGACGCCGCATCCCGCAGGGAAGGAGCAGCTCCCCGGAGGGTCTGTGCTGCCCCGGCCCCTCCCGGGGTTTTCCAGCTGCCTCCCAGGATCCCGGGCTGCTTCCTGCAGGGATTCGCTTCCATGGAAAGTCTGAACCCCCTCCGAGCGCCGGCGGCGCCTCTCTGCCCTGGGGAGCTGGGATTAGGGCAGGAAATGAGGCACAAGCAGAGGTAAGAGGTTTCCTGAAGGCCCGGCCAAGGCTGCGGTTGTTAACCCAGGCTTCCCGAGGCTGGAAAAACCCTCCCCGCTCCGAGCCCTCGGGAGCTCGGCCCGTTCCTGGCAGGGTCCGAGGCAGAGGCACCCGGGAGCCGCTTCCCCTTGGAATTTCCGCGCGCTCCGGGGTGTTTGGCTTGGATGGGCCGGGAGGGTGTTCCCAGCCCCGGGGGATGGTAAACTTCGTTTAATTATTGACAGGCAGCTCCTGCTCCCGGATGGAGCTGAACAGGGCTGGGATGAGGATAATGCTGCAGCTGGGGGACGGCAGAAGCTCGGTGGGAGCAGCTGATGTGGTTTTGGGGTCCTTTGGGTGGTTTTACCCATCCTTCAGCCTGGAAATTGTGGTGTTTCGGGGTCCTTTGGGTGGTTTTACCCATCCTTCAGCTTGGAAACTGAGGTGGTTTTGGGGTCCTTTGGGTGGTTTTACCCATTCCTCAACCTGGCAGCTGAAGTGTTTTGGGATTTTTTGGGTGGTTTTATCCATCATTCAGCATGGAAAACCAGAGGAGAGGAGATGAGACCACCTTCCAGCCCCATCTGCCTCTCATCCTGCTCTGAAAATCCCTTTTTTCCTGTGTTTTGCAGCCCTCAGAGCCTGTCCTGGTGCTCCGCCGCCGGCACAACCCAGCGTGGGCTGCTGGGAATCCAATCCCACGGAGAAAAATCTCCTCTGCTCACCCCCATTCCCGTCTCCACAGACCTCCTCCCTCCACCCCAGAGCCCTCCCTCTGCTCCTTCCTTGGGTTTTCACCCCAAACCTGCAGAATTCACCCCCCAGCTCTGGCTCTGTGTCCCTGCCGAGCTCGGGGGGTTTCGGGATCATCCCAATCCCGCCGGGATCCTCCTCCAGGAGGGGGGAAAGGGGCCCCACGCCGGCACCGGGGGCAGCAGAGCCCGGGCTGGGAAAGCGGGATTTGGGTCATTTTTGGGTCCTTTTCCCGCCCCGTCCCGGGATAAATCCCGCGTGGCTGCAGCATCCTCGCTGCTGGGGAGGAATCGGAATCCACCCCTGGATCGAGAGGAGGTGATCCCAGGATCCCAGATTTTGGGGGTGCAGTGATTTTTTTTCCCAAGAGCTGACGAGGTAGGAGAAAATTCCCCGGAGCTGCTCCTTCCACCCCTCCCTCCCTGCAGCCCCACAAACCCCGGCCCGCTCCGCGCGGATCCTCCCCCCTCCTCGCTTTTCCATGGGTTTAAAACTCATCCCGCCGGGGAAAAACCCCAAAAACAACAATACACCCCGTCCCCGGCGCCCCTGGCAGCGGCGCGTTCTCACGGATGGTTATTTGGGGTTATTTGTGGGTTTTCCCGGCTTTCCCCCTCCCAGGCAGCGCGGGAGGAGGAAGGGGCCGGCTCAGGTGTGGCTTTAGGACCCAGCGGATCCCCCGTGCTGGAGGTAGGAGGTTTTTTGGGTTTTTTGTTTTTTCTGACTCTCATTTCAAGAGTTTTGGGGAAGCAGAGAGAGGAGACCGAGGCGGTGGGCGAGGGCAGAGCCGGCACTCACTGGTAAGGACCAGGCGAGGGAAACCCCCCCAATTCCCAGGAATTCCGGGGGCCCCCCCCCCCCCCCACCCCAGCAGCAAACGGGGCTGAACCCCCATTTTGGGAACTTTGTGAAATCACCTTAAAACTCCATCGGTTAAGAGCTTGGAAAAGTTATTTTCAGCTTTTTAACCTCACAAAGCCAAATCCCCTTGATTTTTGGGGTGCTGAAGGAACGACAGCCGGGGGAGCGGGGAGTGGGGGGGAGGGGTTCTTTCTTTGAGGCCTGACAGTTACTGGAGATTTTTAACCACTTCCAAAAAGTCTAAAAATACCCCAAAGCCTGGAGGAAGCCGTGGGTTTGTTGGTTGGTGGTTTTTTTTCTTTTCCATCTTGGAAAGAGATTGTAGAAAAGGGATCTTTTATTCCTATTTATTTTGGGGGACGGGCCCCTGAGAAAAAGGTGATGTGTGAAAACACGGATGGGGGCACCAAGTTCCTTACCTCTGGTCGGGGGCCAGAAGAATTGGAATCTTTTAATATTCCCTTTGTTCTCGCACTCTCTGGCAACTGAAGAGCTTAAAAAAAAAAGAAATAAATTAAAAAAAAAAAAAAAAAAA